ACACACACACACACACACACACACACACACACACACACACACACACATACACTTTGTCCCTCAATGGTGGTTCAGCTTTGTTTTTTATTCGTTTTTGCAAATTTTCCTTTCGTTTTCCTCTTAACGTTATCGAGTCTTATTATGAGCAACGGATGTGTCTTCTTCTTTTCAACCATTTTTAGTCCGATAAATGTCGCTACAATCCAACATACAATATGCAAACATTCAACGGTGTGACACTCAGTATATTGATATGATGTGCTAAGAACGATTGAACAAGCAACAAACATAGAACATAGCACAATCATACATATCATTATGATTATACTCAATCCAAAATTGCGACTTCATCAAACATTGTGCGTGCCTACAACTACAAAGTCACACACAGCACAATAATATTTAAGAAAACGGAGGATACATATACTATATATATACGTATATTTAAAATGAAAAAAGCGTCGGATAAGAATACGCACCGAAAAACATATATAGCATTGCTTTCAACCATATATTTTTTTGGTTCATAAACCAATACAGATACGAGCACGGAGAAGTGAACACAAATTTCATGCAGACGGCAGACAAATGCCAAAAGAGGGGAGACGATTTTAAGACAGCCTAAGAAATCAAAATAATCATACAAATTTTGCGCATAGAAATCGGTCTTTTTTCACTTTCACACAAATTACAAACCGTACTTTTTCACAAATTCCGAAAATTTACGAAACGAATTGTTGAGTTTTGACAATAATATTCATTCTATTGTAGTAAAAGAACCACTCCCTTTGTTCATGTAAAATTGTTACGCACAGGGACTTTAAGCCAACGAAATGAGAAATATTGTCAGGAATTGAATTTTGAAATGTGGACACGTTATCATACATTTGGAGTTTAATCTTTTTTTTATGGACAAATTATGACATTCTAGGGATGACAATATAATTCGAACCAAAATGATTATTTAAGCCAATTGGCGATGTAATTAGAAAATGGAAATAGTCGAGCCTTTTATTATTATTATGATTGAAGCTATGGTCTTGATTTGTTCTGAAGATGTCTTATTGTGTGTGCTTACTATCATTCAGAGAAAAGGGTATAAGTAGCTGATTCATGTTTCCAGAAATAGGAAAATGAACAGCCGTTTCAAATTCACCGAATCAAAATAATAAAAAGACTGACTGAAGCTGAGATTACAATGTCACCAAGAAGTCTACATAAATTCTTGTCATTGACTCAAAACTTGACGACGGAGTGAGCATGATGTATGTGATGAGTCTTTTTAGTAGCTTCATTGTTTCATATGATAATAATCAATATTGGATGAACATACATACGCTTCAGGCTAATTAAATGGTTTTGTGATTAGAAATTTTCTACGCACGAACACAATTTTTTTTTTGGATGGGAGAAAAAGCCAATAAAAAAAAAATAGAAAAACGAATAACTTTGAAGAAAGTAATAGTTTGTAACAAGTCACTTGAAAAGTTCAGTTATTACTTGATTAGTTCAATTTCACAGAAACAAATAACCGAGTACCCTCACTCGCACTTGCGGTGTTAGGAGAGAGTCTACCCTTTAAAATGAGTTACGTACTCTATTTTACTATATTTTTGGTGTTAATTTCATCCAAGCGAACACATCATAGTGAAAGAGGAAATACATGTGAAGTCATAGCCGCAATCGTTCAACGTACATATGACTACACATGTATCTCTTCTTTCACTACGATGCGTTCACTTGGATGAAATTAACACAAAAAATAGAGAAAAATAGAGTGCGTAACTCATTTTGAAGGGTAGACTCTCTGCTAACACCGCAAGTTTGAGTAAGCGTACTCGGATATTTGTTTCTGTGTTGAATTTACAAAAATTGCATTTTTTTTCTCTGTAGTCGATTGTATACATAATGTGTATCTTTATGCGATTATTTTTGTTTCATTTTGCGGATATGCATTTTATAGTACTTTTCCCTTCAAACAAAGAGTTCAACAGCTCGTGTGTATGTGTGTGTGTGTTTCTGTCAAACACAACGACGACCGAAGTTCGTTATCCTTTGAACACTTTGTTGACAATAACGGCATGGTTTTTTCAGTCTCCTATTGACTTTTGTTCAATTTTGTTGCGAAATTATTAAATTAGCAGAATATTCAATTATTTAACATTGAATTAGTTGTAAATACATGTTCAATATAAAATTATACTCTGTTTTTTATGAGATATTTTCTAAGATGAATGTGTATAGCATTGAAACAAAAAACAAATACCTTTGTAGACCTGTACACAATTATGGCAAAATAAAAAGTCGATGTATTGAACAACGGTTGAGGTGTGTGTGACTGTGTGTGCATACAAATGCATTTCAACGACGTACCATGAATATGACAATGATTTTTATTTTTAATTATGCTTTTCGCCCAAATTAATAATATCGATTTGATTTGGGTTGAAGCAAACAACTGTCTATGAAAAAAATGCATGAAACATTGGATCGCACGATTGGCATTTTAAGTAGATATTGGTTGATTAAAGCATGGAATCAAGCCAAGTGATAGCACGATATATATGCATAAATAGGCCTAGCTTATGCTAACAATAGGTTTTTTTTAGATGAGTTTGAACGTTAAACGCAATCAATGTTGTTGGCTGAGCAGACATAATGTATGCGAGTATACATCAAATATTTTAAATTCAACTATAATAATTTATTAATAATTTTGACTTGGGACTTTTTTGAAACTAAGAATAAACGGTTATTGGGCCAATGGCAAAGGAACCGATCTATTTTTAAACCACGACGGTTCAATATATCGAATACACGAAAATATATATACAATATATTGCTTGAAGCCTTTAGATTAAAAAGCAACTAGTTCATATCTATACATCGAAATATGGTTCACATTAATATCACACAACCATTCAATTACTCTCAATGGAGACAAAGAGAAAAAGTTTTTTTTGTTTTTTTTTTTTTTTTTCATATAATACCGAATTAACTGTTCACCATTTTGTGTATTCGACGATATGAAATGCAAGATAAGTACTTGTAATCCATTGAATGAATAAAAAACAACGTTGTTTTCTGTCAATTCAGCTGTAGAATATTGACCCGTTGTGACCGTACCGGATTGGTTGTTGGTCAATGTTCAAATGAATCGTATATACCATGTTAATGCTTGGCGTTATGTTTGCGTTGGCGTTGGATCATATCAACCATTGTTTATATATAAACAACCATGCATTTAATCCGTATTGCGCTATTCTATTTATTACCTTTGTTTCCATTCATTTTCCAAGCGACCAATTTAATTTTATCGCCAAAATCCACAACAGAAAATTGTAAATTGCATTTGAAACAAAAAACAAAATTGCAATGATTTTTACAATCAAAATGCTAAACCCATAAAATCATACCCATCGTGAATGGACAGTGAAACGCGAATTGGATCGGCATGAGCAAGGATCGTCTAATTATCATATTTGAACACAGTATGCTTTTTTTTATTAATGAAAACCATTTTTTACACATTTAAAATTCGTTTGAATCGACCATATTCTAGTTGTTCACCATTGAGTTGTGCATGCAAAATATGGAATTAAAACGAGTCACGAAAGGTTCATCTAATGATATTGCATGCCAATGCCAAATATGTGTGAGTGTGTGTATGTGTCATTTTTAGTGGTCTTTTTGTTTATTAATTACCATAGTCGATAGTTATGAAGCACCAGCTGAGAACGGGAAATGGCCAGTGAATTGCTCATTCTCATGAAATGTGAAGCATTTCTTAAATGTCATCCATTGGCCCAAAATTCGGAACCGATGATAATTAAGTAGTTTTATTTTTCATATATTCACAGCTAATTTTCTATTTCGAAATAAAGAATGGCGTGCTTGATCATATATGAAGACAGTTTCTATTTCGCTCTGTGTGTTTGCGCGCGCGTTACAATCACGAATATTAATTTTCCACAAGTCTCTTTTAGTGGTCATCGTCGTCATTTTTACACGCTCATTGTGTCCATTTCAGGTTTCTGGGTGCAGCCAAGATTTGTTACAAGGTCTCGCAATTTTCTCATTTTCCTTGGCACTTTCACGTCATTATATAATTATAGTATCATGCATTTTACTTTCACCCTTTTGCAAATGAAAAAAAAAAAAAAAACAATTGAATTCATATAATAGCATTACGTTATTTTATCATTGCATTTAAATTGATACAATCATTTTTAAAAATATACAAATTATTAATAAAGCATACGCGAAATAAACAGAAAACACGATATTTTTATTTAATCATAAAAAAGAAATTCGAAATACTTTTGTCATAAAGAGATGCTTGCAAGCATAGTTCACAGATAAATATTAATAATTCAGACATATAGAAAAAAATGGATTCTTGGCTGAGAATGTCGTTTCAATGCTGAAGTATATGGAAAATCACGTACTTAACATATGTCCATAAAGTCTTGGCAGTGAATTCAGATGTTTGCCATTTGAACAACAAACATACAATATTAAATTCTTTTTTATTGGTATAAACCTTCATTAATGGGCTACGAATAGCACATTCACCTTACACTGAACGGGCCATTGTCTTCGATTTTTCTCAGTATGCGTCGAACCTTCAAAATCATGCTTTGGCGGACCAATATGTCGATTTCTTTCAACTTTCTCTCTTTCAACTTAATTTGGTGTCTTTTTGTGAAGTTAAACAGATGGTCCTTTTTTCACGGAAATGTCATATTTTAAGAAGTGAGCCATTATTGTGGCTTTTTCTGCTTGCAAACCAAAATTTTGTGTTAAATCAGATAGTTCTCAATGAATTCTATCGATTTCAACAACAATTGGTTGATAACGGAGCATGTAATGGAGGTTTTACCTTACGTTTCAGCACCAAATTCTCGAATATTGGCTCTAAAACACCTTCCAAAGAAGATCCTACCATACAAACACGCCTTTATCAAAGTTCGGTTTGTCGACGTTTCTAGCCTTATATAGTAGTGCCCTAACATAATCAATGCAAAAGAAACCACTTGCACTTGATTCGTGGTTCGACATAGCGATGAATGTTTCACTGTCCAAAATTATGAATTTTTCAGTGCAAAATGCTATGAGGTGAAGTAAATACCCAATTTTTGACACCCTATTGAATTTTTTCATTACTTATTTTGCTGATTCCTAATGACCGGGTCTAAATCTATTGTTTTGGTTCAAATTTTGATGTGTTGTAACCATAAAAATCACCAAAAACGAATTTTTGCTTGACCAACCCGGTTTTCGGTACTTGATGACAATTTTGGAGGGTTGGAGCATTTAAATAGGGAATACGACCGTACTTTTTGCTTTCTAGCTTTGTCTTCATACTAAGTCCATGAAACACAATATATGGTTCGTAGGCAGATGGGTTCATCTTTAGACACATGCGAAATTTGTTTTGAACTTAGCCGCCACAACCATTTGAGACACTTTTTCGTAAATCCAATTTGTACGTCTCCGCGAATGGATGTATTTCATCGAATTGAGTTTGATAGTAGTCCCGAGGTACTGATAAACGTGCCGTGTGCATTGGTTGATATTTTTGATTTTGTTTATGTGGCGCAATAAACGCCTGAATTTACTGCCAAAACTTTATGGACATATGTTAGTACAATACAATGCTTGTGCATATAGAGCATCAATGGAATATGCAAAGATGGATAAACTCTCATTGCACAATCATTCCATTTGAAATGAACTAAATAGGGTGTCACACAATTCCATGTCAAAAGGAGTCAATTTAATTTTAATTTTCAATTCACCTTTATTTGTAAATTTCTTAAGACTAAACATTACATAGAAAAAGGTATAAACTAGTGTTTTAATTATAAATTAGCTTTGCATCCCATACGGATTTTTCAAAGATCTACATTTAGTTATTCGATCGATTTCACGAATTAAGATTATGTAATGATTATGTATTGAGTATTGGATTTACTCAAGGGAAAAATATAAAAAAAAACCCTGTATATTTTTGAAATATAAAAAAAAGAGATCAAAAAGAATTATTGATATTTACAATTTTAAATTTTCAGTTAATTACTGAATTTCTGTAGTGTTCAATTGTAGGTATGCTATTGAAATAATTTAAGCATTCATTGCCCGATTGTAAACTAAGATCATTGAGGTAATCTAAGTATATTGGTGGTTTACTGTTATAATAATTTAAAGAATTCATATAATCTTCATCGTAAATTAAATGATATCTTATAATGGATGAGGTATTACTTTTCTCCCTGAGAATAAAATTTAATGAGTGTTGAACAAGCTCATTTTCAATATTATTTATTCCACTTTCCTCATAGATTAATTTGTTTGGATAGTATTTTACACTATCCGGTCTTCGGTAGAGCCCAGTACAAGCTCGTAAAATTTTTCTTTCCAGAAGGGCTATTTTATTTATTTGTGTTCTAGACACTTGCATCCAGATGGGAGCTGCATACATTGCAATCGGTTTGATAATTTGTTTATAAGCTAAAAGTTTAATGTTTTTAATTATTTTCCTATTGAAAAAAATATTTTTTAATGCAAAATATGCAGCAAGCATCCTGTTTCGTATAATTTCCAAGTGGCAATTGTAATTGAAATTTCTTGTAAAATGTATTCCCAAATGTCAAAAGGAGTCAAAAAGTATATATATTATATGGTAACTTTTTTAAGATCAGCACCTTCGGGCCAACATTTTCTTTGATCTGTTCAACGGTCATTATGATTGAGTTTCTTAAGAGAAATACGTAGCATATGTACATATCTCCATAAAGCACCTTTGAAACAGAGACGGGTATTTTTTGCAAACAACAGTAGAAGTAAAATGGTATTTCACATTTCAGTTAAAATTCCCCTTTTTTAATCACCGTTTTGTTTGTTGCCAATGAAACTTACAGAATCCAAAAAAGCTTCTTAAGATTAAAAATAGAAACGGGGATCTTTCAATTGCAATTAAATGTTTTAAATAATCTCAAGTATGACTGTTCTAATAACGTTGAATTGACGTAAAACAACTTGAGATTCCGCTTATCAGAGATTAGTCATTTGTTTGTCAACGGTGTGTGTTATTTTGAAAGTATATAAATGAAATCGACGATGGCCAACATAAATCAGAATAAAATTGAATTTTCAATTGAACAAGTCGAAGTGTTAAAAATATGAAAATGCTCTTACTTCATTTTAAACTGTGCTTTGCTATTGTTCTCTTTCTTTGTATCGCATTGGATAATATCCGGGCTTCATCCATTGGCGATGAAAGTATTGGGTAAGTATTTTGTACATGCATGGTCTTTAAAATATAAAAAATGAGTTTTGTTCTAAATATTTTAGATTAGCTGATCCCAATAGTACCTTACTCTATAGTTCAGTAATTTTTGGTGTAGGGCGGCGCCACCGTATGTACATAGAAATTTACATTTAAACTAACGCCATCTAACGTGTTTGATAATTTTTTTCCCCAAAAAAGTGGCACTATAACCCGTCTTTGGCTGATCCAGTTGCACATTTTGGTTTTGAAGGCAATAGAGTACATCGTGTTGCTCGTTCTGGGTGTGATCTATCAGAGTGTAGCGAACAATGCTCACCGAAACGTGGACAGTGTGTCACAATCAATGACTACATATATTGCCGTTGTTTTTAATTGACGACCCCAATATATGTGATTGATCTGATTTATTTTCAACCAATAAAGAAGACACAAGACTAAGATATTATATTGAAACGTATGAAAAATTAACGATTATTTCAAAAATACAAGATTCGTCACATGAAATGCCAAAAAATGGCTTGAAATATTACTAGAGTGTTTCAGTCATTTCCATAGGTTTGGCATGGTGGAACATTCAGGTGTGAAAACATGGAAAAAGGGAAAGACAACCATTAGTATCAGTTGAACTGGGTATAACATACTTTTTTTAAATTAAAAACTTTACTCACCTACGGGCACTCTCCCTCCGTACAATGTTGTACTATTGTACAACTAGACCACAAGACTTTATATAGCCTGTTCATGTCTAGCTACGCTAACTATAATAGTTAAAATATTTTATTTTATGTAATTTTTTGAATGTATGATTAATTGATGATGTTTGTTAGTTGACATTGTTGTTTTGGTCCGGCGGTCTTAACAATGAAACTGGCAATGGTACATCAAAGATCCGGCAAAGTCCTATGTAATTTAAAGCAAATACATTAAATAATGAATATTCTGTTTCCAATTGATTCATACCTTTGAGCATAATGCATTTTGCTGCAACAATATCTCGGTGCCAAGTAACTGTTTGTGGAACAACATCATCATCATCAACATTTAATGGCCAATTTTTGTAGGTAACTTTAACCTTTGACATTAAACGCCCAGTCCGAAGTTTTTCGTTCACAGCCTCACGATTGCCATCGATAATTTGTCGCTTAATAATTGCACGTTTTCTTCTCAAAACACGTCTGTTGACCGTTGACACAATGATATCTGGCAGTCCAGCGACTGAATCTGGCAGGCCATCAATCTTTTTCGCTCTACAATCGTAGCACACTTTAAATCGATCATCTTTTGTGTGCCTTAGAAAACGTTCCTGACAATTCGCGCATGTTTGTGATGTTCCCCATTCATCTTGCATTTCAACTTCTGAATGTCCAAGTTTCTTAATGCTCACACGAAACTTACGCGATCCCGGACATCTTTTACGCTTTTTTATTCCAAACGGTCGATCGGGTTTCATCGCCCAAGCACCAAATTGAACCAACGACGGTTTGTTGTTTGTCACACACACGGCGATTTGATCATTTACTCTGGTCGAGCGAATGTGATGGTCTAAATCCAGTCGTGCATATTCACGCGTCGCATAAGCTGCCATTCCTTTTCGTAACATTTTAATGCGATATTCAATGTATGATTTCCATGTTGAATTACGTGGTGATGGTGGACGATATGGGTATGTTTTGAGATGTTCCTTCTCTTCGATATCAAACCATCCAGCCAACTTTTTCGCTTCTTTGTCTCGTTTTTTCTGCTGAGTTTCCCAATGAAAACGCTGGTTTGGTATTATAATGTTTTCCTTCAAAATGCAAAATGATACAAAAAACTATGACTTTCTATTCAAAACCATTTCAAATTACATTTCAAAATATCTTACCTCAACAGCCGGCTCATCAGGTGTTTTTTGAATGTTGCGACGCACTACAGATAACCACGATTTTTCATTCGGATCGATTCCAATGATGTATTTCTTGCCAATGAGTTTTTCCGGCCCCCGATTCGCTTGGGTTGTTTGCTGTGGTCGTTGTTGTCGCTGTGGTCGTTGTTGTCGCTGTGGTCGTTGTTGTCGCTGTGGTTTCTTGTACATTATGGATATTGAAACACTATCGGTCAAAATCTGATGATGGAATGATTTCGATTTGCCCAATTTATTTATTTTACCGACATCGAACAACATATTCCATAGACCTGATCGATCAGTTTGGGTGTAGTACTTTAAATTTCTCTTATTCATCCGGTTGGTCCGCGTATTGAGAAAAGAAGGCACCAAATCAAGCTCGTTTACAATTTTATTATACAAGTCCTTAATGTCCAATCGCACGTTTTTCAAATGGTAGTCGCATAATGGTATAAGAGCAAAACTGCTTATTTTTGGTGGTCGATTGATTGTTGGCTCTTGAAAGTTCGGATTGTTACGAAACATTTCATGAATGGTATTCCATTGTTCGGCATGACTGTGATACACTTCTATTTGCCGTTGCATTTGACCGAACAACCACAGTGATTCAAACCAACGATATTTTGCGAAAAATTTCATACTCACTGTTCCCGACCATCCGATTTCAGTCAAATCTCTCATTAAAATATTGAATTTTTCAACGCGTTGTGGATCCACATTATTACCATTATTACCATTTGTTAAATTCTTAAATCGATATGAAAACTCTTTGGCATTTCTGATGTCGATGCTATCAAATCTTGAGCCATTGTTAAATCGATTGCGATACCAACAACGCATTCGAAAAAAATTCTCAAGTCGTTTTTCACACCATGTGTTGGTATTGGTTTGAATGTTTGTGATATATTGTTTATAAAAATATCTCAAACCATTTCCCAACTTTTCATCATCTGGCCATCGGAACTGTTCTTCACTGTTTCTTTCTACCATGAAACGAAACTCGGGCAATATCCGATATTGACTATTAATATTGTTAACGTGTTGGTTTAATACCGCTCTGAAACAATCGGCAATGAACAGTCTTGGATGTGGTTGCAAAAAAAATGCACGATCGTCATTATCAAGTGCTTCATTCAAAATAAAAAGAATAGAAAGTGATGCCAATGCTGCCACTTCTGTCATTTGAACACTGCGCTCGAATAGCATTTTGGTCACAACTTCTCCAACTCTTTCAATCCGTTCATGTTGTTGTCGCAGGATTGTTTGAAGTCCACATTTTATTACAACGTATTTGCTTTCTTCTGGTTGATTATCATCGAGCTCGTCGTCATCCATGTCTTTTTCTGTTCATTATCATTAATAAAAAATAGACACAAATTTAGAAAAAAAATGCAACAAAAATAGCATAGATTACGAATAAAATGAGATCACAATTTAAATGACAATCACTTATATCACAATTCAAATTAATCACTTCTTACCTCAACGATGTCACTCTCTATTCTGATTCAAATGATGAAATGTTTTCCAATATTCCGCAGATGAAAATTTTGTTGGAATATTCACCGTCAATTTTATGAATGCTTTCTTATTTTGAAATAACAACAGAGACAATCTCAAAACCAACAGTGAATTTATCCGTTTAACATCGAACAAACAAAATCATTGGAACAAATGTTAGCCAAAAATGACGACAAACAAAATGTTTCATACTCTAATATAAACACTCACACATAATTCTCAAGAATTCCTTTTACAAGCAAAGCACAATTTGTTACAAACAAAAAATGAGAACACACTCATATCACAATTCAAATGAATAACTTCTTATACTATATAACGCTGTGTCCTGATTAAAACGATGAAAATGTTTTTTTTTTATTTTGAAATGAAAACAAAGACTGTCACAAAACGGACTGTGAATCTTTCCATTTGACATCGAGTGACTTCTACAGTTACGTTCCAAACACACCAAACCGTTGCTAAAATGACGATAAACAAAAAATGAATCTCATGTACAAGAATTCCATTTATTAATCACTGAATTTTGTTTTTTTTTTTTCAACACAATGGCAACTTAACCATAATTACTTACCTTAGTCTTAACAATAACTTCAAAATATTTTGATGCGAAAAAATCCCTATTTAGTTCGGTGCCGGAATTATAATTTCATACATTGTTCAAAGAAATTAATTAATACGATGCAATGTTTACGAAGCACATTTTGAATGTAATCAGAAAAATCGGCTTCGATATGATACACACCAATACACACAGCTACCAACTGTCAAATGTCGTACACATTCAAACATGTTTCGAATTCGAAATTCGAATTTGAATTATGAAATAAAAAAAATAAAAAAATGTTTCTGAAACTAAAATCAAATCAAACAAATCTAAAAAAAGGCACATTTATAAATGTATTTCACAGTCACTTGAAATTCCTACGCAATGTTTTTTTTTATTCATGCACAATCGAAACACACACAGAGAGAAGAGAGTAAGATTTGTATTTTCATCCTCTTTTTTTTCCGGTTTGTTTTTCAAATTTTATTTGCTTAAAATCAATCGTATGAATACGATATTATGAACTCAACGAGTTTATGTTATTTACATTTGTTTACATTGTATTGCCGCTACAGTTTCTTAGAATATAATAACAAAAAGAGATACAATCGAAACACACAGAAGATGTTGTTGTGTATCGCAACACGAAAAAGCCGAAAAAGTGGTTCACATTATGCCTATATTCTACCTTCCATTTGACACGAAAATTGCCACAAAAATGGGTTAAAGCGTTACATTTTTTAACGTTAAAATGTCCTAAAAACGGTACATATTTGTCCGTTGGGAAGAAAGTGAATATTTTTGTAAAAACGATTTTTTTTTACTTCCAACCAACCAACTATAACTCACCTGTGTAATCATTCGAGAGAGATTTTTCTTTGGGATATTACGCAGCGTGAATTAAAATAAGTACAGAATACTATCTACTTTTTTTTTAAAGAAAAATCCTCCTCGAATGATTACTCACATATTATGGTTGGTTGGTACGAAATGAAAAGAAATAACAAAAAAAAAGTTTTTACAAAAATATTCACTTTCTTGAGAATTCCTTCTGTGGCTCTGCGATTCTCAGAATCATAGGACGAGCCTAAAAGTGTCTTTTACATGTATTTATATGCAAAAGTCATTCTCTGAACTTTAGAAGAATCCCCCTACACCAATGTAAGAGGAACTAGAAGAAATGGTTTTTGCATTGGATAAATTTCCACTATTGTATATTAAATAAGGCATGAACCACCACACATTTTTGTTAGTTCGATGTTTATAGGATAGATACAGCGCCATTCAATGTCTGACAACTATACTTGTCCTATGCTCAGAATACCAAGTGTTCTGTTGTTACATTAAAGCCTTTAATTTAAAGGTAGGCTGATAGCTATAAATAATCCATGAAAATTGGTGCAAAACAACTGTAACTATTCGCTCTCAAGCAAGTGCAAAAGAAATAAAAAAGCTTGAAAAATGAATTCAAAAGCAATCGTACTCTTTGTAGCAGTCATTTTATTTGATGTGACCGGTAAGTGACATCCGAAAAATATTATTTTGTAAGAGATTTTCGTGTACCTTAACAAATAAATTAAAAAAATTTCGTTTTTCTTTTTAAACTTAGTATACTCTCAATGTACCGACCATCCAACAGGCATCAAGAGGCCAAGCAGTAAGAGTTCTTCAAATAAGGCTCAATGAATACGGATATGGGCTCGAAGTCGACGGTATCTTCGGCCCCAAAACTAAAAGTGCCGTGATGACATTCCAGCAGGGTAAAGGGATCGAAGTCGACGGCATCGTCGGCCCACAGACCTGGTGGAAGCTGGGCTTCTAATGAGCCTTTCTGTCGTTGTCACCATTGACATATATTTGCTTTTCCGCATATACATTTTTTTTTTTTTCTAATTTTTGTTGATTTTTTCTCTTAAGGAATTGGAAGTATTTACTTGGTTTCAATAATTATATTGATTGTGAAAATAGTGCATAGCTTAAAAAAATCAGTCTATGTATTTCAGATAGATATCCATCCGAGATATTTTAGAATATCTGGATATTCAACGCAACTGCACAGCGCCAGAGCTGTGTGCGTCGCAAATAGAATCTACGGTATGTCGCGACGTATATGTGTATCAAGTGCCGCACGTACACAGTCACACTGTGTCTGTATTTTACGTGTAGCGACATACCGTAGATTCTACGTGCGACACACACAGCTCTGGCTCTGTGCAGCTGCGTTAAATATCCAGATATTCTAAAATATCTCGGATGGATATCTATCTGAAATACATAGACTGAAAAAAATCAACTTGAGCTATGAGCGCTAAAAGCAACGTATTCGAAGATGTATGCGCAAATACACCAATTTATTTTGTATGTTTAAAGATGACGATCAGTCTATCTTTAACTGCCGAGTTTCACAGGGATTGGATTACGATTATTGAGCTACCTTTAGACTAAAGAAAAGTAATGACACCATCATTTAGACAAACTGCTAAATAATTGTAAAACGTATTTAATAATCGTATTTTTGTCTTATCAATTACCATCGATCAGCAAGACACTCAATTTCTCAATGTGAAATGAGATTTGAGTTTACTTGATCTGCTGGAGGCTCAAAAAAGAATGAATATACTAGGAGTGCACCACCAGTTTATAGAAATTGTGCACTCAATTAAATGCATTCACAACCTAATTATTGTCGGTCAAACAAAATACATGAAAGAACTCTGAAAATGGCGAAATAAATTGAAACAAGTGTTCAAACATGAACGAATTGGTGAGTTACGGTTGGTACGAAATGAAATGAAATAAAAAGAGAAAAGTTATTACAAAAATATTTACTTTCTGGAGAAATTCATCTGTGCTTCTGCGATTCTCAGAATACCAAATGTTGTGTTGTTATATTAAAGCCTTTAATTTAAAGGTAGGCAATAGCTATAAATACTGCATGAAAATTAGTTCAAAACACCAGTAACCATTCGCTCTCAAGCAAGTGCATATTCAAATTTATAAAAGAAATAAAAAAGCTTGAAAAATGAATTCAAAAGCAATCGTACTCTTTGTAGCAGTCATTTTATTTGCTGTGACCGGTAAGTGACATCCGAAAAATATTATTTTGTAAGTGATATTCGTGTACTGTAACAAATGAATGAAAACATTTTCGTTTTTTTTAACCTAGTATACTCTCAATATACTTCCCGTCCGACCATCCAACAGGGATCAAGAGGCCAAGCAGTAAGAGACCTTCAAATAAAGCTCAATGAATACGGATACGGGCTCGAAGTCGACGGCATCTTCGGCCCCAAAACTAAAAGCGCCGTGATATCGTTCCAGCAGTTAACCGAGATCGATGTCGACGGCATCGTCGGCCCACAGACTTGGGGGGCTCTGGGCCTCTAATGAGCCCCTCTGTCGCTGTCACCATTGACATATATTCATTTATTTTATTTTCATTTCATTTTTATTTTATTTTCAAGCACCAAATGAACGACGGAATGTTCAACGACGACAAATTTGCCAAATATGTTTAATGTGATCGTCGTTTAAATGCAACTTTCTTTGGCGATTTTCGTTTAAATGGGCGTTCTGCATCTATATTAATCATTTTGATTGTCATCATTTCGCTGTTTCGGATGAAAGTCGAATATGCAAATTGTTGAACAAAAAGTCACTGCCGATTACATTGAAAGGGATTTAAACAACGACAACTTTACTCCGGTCGACTATCATGTCATCAGCTCATGTCATTTTTCAGCCGATTCAATTTGTATTGTTACAAAGTCGATTTCAATTGAAATGAATAATTGTTGCATAAAATGTTTCTCTTTTTAAAAATCATATGTTCACAAAATCTTATTTTTTTTATTTTATTTTAATCGGAATCAAATTGCTATGTTCAGTAAAGTTATGTCAATAGCTATGCAAAGAAATTCTTCGATATCTTTTTATTTGATAATTTTATGACAAAAAAAAATCGGCCTCACATTTAGCAGTTTCCCCTACAAAAATTTAATTTTCATTGCAATAATTTTTTTCACATTGATATATATGATTGTCCGCGAATGAATGTGAGTCTTCTCGTGAGAGTTTATTGAAATGTACTGACAGTCAGCATTTTTTGTATGGCGGTGTTACATTTCAATAAGCTCTCACGAGAAGACTCACATTCATTCTTGGACATTCATATATATCTCCGAATTTTTGTGAAAGGAAACCACAACTATAGATTCTGACGTGGGTCCATAGGGCCCATATATTTTCAGAGATTGGATTTTTCGAAAAAAATTGAAATTACCCCCCCAGATTTTACGAAAAATTTTGAAATTACCCCCCATATTTTTCGAATTTTTTTTTGAAATTACCCCCTCCTAAAACTCTGGACGTCAGAATCTATGACCACAACTGATATGAAGTTTCTATTATTTAAATGCAAAATTTTATTTCATTCATATGAATACCAATTGAAAAAAAGTTAAACAATTTAATTAATTTGCGTCTGTTTTATCATCAGTCGGTTTGTTATTAACTGTCGTCGACTCATCTTCGTTTGATTTGACATCAGTTGATTGTCTTTTCTCTTCTTCATCTGAATCGCTGTTACTGGCCGCCGAATTTGTTGTCTCAGATTTTGTATTTTCATTGGGTTTTCGATTTTTGGAACGTTGTTTTTTCTTGAGACGTTTTGCTCGCTTCTTCGCCGTTTTCTGGTCAGCTAACAAACGGTTCTGTTCAATTTTATTGCGAAAATCTTCTTCCATTTGTTCCTAAAATTGAAAAGTTCATGAATCGATACGAAATCGATATTTGAAGCAAACAAGTCTTACCTTCACACTTTGTTGTTGTAATTGTTTTTGGCGGGCGTATTCTTTTCGACGTAAATGTCTGTAAACATGAAACTCTCCACTACCAGCTCCAGCGCTCGAACCCATCACATTCCGTACAAAAGACGGTGTATCACCATAGCCATCGCCACCATTCCTTTGGGAATTTGATTGAGGAATCGCAACCACTTTTTGCTGCAAAAGAAAAATACAACATGAAATTTGACTCAAGTAAAAATAAGAAAAAACACATACCGGATTTTTCATGAGTTTTTCCAGTTTGATGCGCTGTATATCGGTCGGTGTTCTAGCCACAAATTTTGGCTTTTCTCCGTTGTTTTTTGGTTTTGTCTCTTCAACCGAATCCATTTTTATTCTTATTTTGATATTTAATTTCAATTTATTTCATGAAGATAAGTCTAGTGTTTGTTTTTAATTTTACACCAACAAAAAAAATTGTGTATCCAAATGAAGTGTCAGACGTGTGTAAATGACAGATTATCATTTGACATTTGATGTTTAATATTTCGTTGAATTCAAATTTTTCAACGAAAATCTCATGAAAAATATTTTTATTTTCGATTTTTTTAAATCAATTTATCACCAAAACGTTTTGTGTTCAAATTGTATAAAAAAATCATAGAATTATTTAAATGTAAAATAGCATCGATAATTTGTTGAAAAAAAGTAGTAAAGACGATTGTGCTGCCACTTGGAACGTTCGAAGAGAGACAACCCAAACACGTACTAGAGTACAGCTGTATTTTTTTTTAAACCCATATCACTGCAACGCCAAGACGCACCAACACACTGATAAATGCACACTGATGCGAAGCGCACCAATACAATCAAAGCCACAGTGTATTTCATGCCATACGCTTTACGTTACATGTGCTTTTTGCATCACATACAAGCGTATCACACGATAAACGAGTTACATACATATCCATCTTGTTGTTGTTTTTTGTTTATTTGTTGTCGTTTCATATCGTTTCTGCGGTTCATTTTTCAAAGAGTTTCATAGTTTTGTCTGTGCAACATTCATTTCATTGTTGTAAATCGAAACGAAGCAAGTAAGTAAAGAGTTTTGGTTATTGAACAAAAAATTTCATTTCATTGATTTTATATTGTAAATTTTTAATTTCGTTAAAACAATGAACAATTGACGATTTAAAAAAAACGGTGCATTTTAAATTAAAAAATAAATTTAATCGCGGTGCTCGAAATAATTTCGCAACAATTTGCTTGGTTGTATAAACATAAATTGTTGTTGGCTTCTATTGTTTTGTTCCCGCGCGTTAAGTGCATTGAAACTGATTTGTATTGTAGAGAAGTTAGGCATCATTTCAAATATTTTTATTTTGTTTCGTTTTGGAATTTCCAATTGCATGCCGTTTATTTTATAAAATTCAATGCACTTAAAATTGTTGAACCATTCAAAATGCATGCATTTAGGGAAAATCAAGAATTCACGTTTGTTCGGTTTATTTATCGTGTTTCTGAAGTGATTCATTTGTACAAACGCAACAAACAATTTCGTTGATGCTTTTGTATTCCATTCGTACCGATTTGCACGTGTGCAACGCACAAAGAACGAAAGAAAGCAGAATGAATCAGAATGAGAAGGTGAAAAAGAAGCAACATAAGCATACAAAAATGATTGCTAATCGTATATTTCGAAGGTGAAGCACATTGTAGCTTCGTTGTTTGTGTGTGCGTGTTGGACTGATTCATGCTGGCGTTCAATTTTAGCCTAGTGCAACAAGTGTATGAAATTGTAAAAAATAAAAATATTAAGCGATCCATTTTCGAGAAATTCTTCGAAGCAAAAAATAAAATAGAAGATAGAGCTAAAAACGGAAAAACTTTGATTGTAAAAACCGAATGCATTTGAAAAGATAAGATAGGGCATAGGAAGTAATTAGTTTCGTTTTTTTTTTTTTTTTTTTTAATATTCAGGTACTAAATAAATAAAACGAGAAAATGGGCTCACCAAATGAAGGTACATCAATTGACACCGATGGTGTAAAAAACGATACCACTGATGCATTGCCTGGTGGTACAACTAAGTAAGTAATGCATATCCCAATAGATTTCTTTGTCATTCAAAATCGAAAATACGAATTTTCTAACCAAACGTTTCTATTTACTTGTGCTAATTTTTAATTTTAATTTTTGTGCATGTACTTGAAACTAATGTGCATCGATACAACGTTGTTTCTTGCTGTGAATTCGTCCTTCATTGTTATGTTGATATTAAATCGTCATGCTGTTTGACTGCACACATTACAACAACAACAACAACAACAACAACACCGGTGTACCATTCAATGCAGCCGAAATAATTCGAATGCGCGCGTTGCACGTATGCCAACCGAGCGCTATGCATCCGAATATAATATGAGACACAGTAAACGTGGTTTGGCCATCATTTTTAACCATGAACACTTCGATATTCCGTCATTAAAATCTCGAACTGGCACCAATGTTGATTGCGAAAATCTAAAGCACACCCTTGAATATCTGCAATTTGATGTTATTGTTCACAAAGATCTTCGTCACTCGGACATTCAACAAAGAGTTGAAGAGCGTAAGTATTTATATATATATATATCTATTACCATTGGATGGATGAGTGCAATTCAGAAAATGTGACACAACATTTTTGACAGTGTTCGATGATGCGTTTCAAAAATGCATTTTAACGAACAATGCACGATATCAAATATGCGAGAAAATAAAACCTTGGCCCTTTTCTTGTCCTTGTCCATCAATTTAATGGTTACATTGTTGACTCACTTGCATCGTTAGAATATTTTTTATTGATTTTATTAAATTTTGGTTTGTCAACGACAGTTTCCAATGCTGATCATTCCGAGCATGACTGTTTATTGATATCGATTTTGTCGCACGGTGAATTGGGTTATATTTACTCAAAAGATACGCATTACAAACTTGAATCAATATGGAGCTATTTTACGGCTCCACGATGCCCCACATTAGCTGGCAAACCAAAACTTTTCTTCATCCAAGCTTGCCAAGGCGATCGTTTGGACGGTGGCATCACACTCAGTCGCACCGAAACTGATAGCAGTGATAACCAATCAATGGCCTATAAAATACCAATTCATGCCGATTTTCTGATTGCATATTCAACGATTCCCGGTGAGTATTTTTTTTTCCTTTCTTGTTTCTCTTTCAAATGTGAACGTCGATAAGATTTTTAATAAATATAGGCCAATGAATAAATGCCTAACGTCTTTCACAAACCACTTGACCGTTGTACACGGAGAAAGTTTGATAGAAATATTTGCGCGTAATTACGCACTTGATCAAAAGCGACATATACAGTCTTATCAACGGTTACATTTGTCGTCATTTTTTATTCTTAATTGCAATTTGAAACAAAACGATTTATTTATCTTTGTACTTATTAGGATTTTATTCGTGGCGAAATACCACCAAAGGTTCGTGGTTCATGCAATGTTTGTGCCAAGAGCTGGAACAAAATGGTAAAAAATACGATATCTTAACACTTCTGACGTTTGTGTGTCAACGCGTGGCCATTGACTTTGAATCAAACACACCCGATAATCCGATAATGCATCAACAGAAGCAAATTCCATGCATAACCACGATGCTAACTCGACTATTGCGTTTCCATGAAAAATAAACCAAAATCCGTTTGGTTTAATTCGTTCGTTGAATGCAAGTAAACATCGATCTACTTACGTTCAAATTCAAAATTGTTTGCCATTTGACCGATTTTCATCGAATTTTCGAAAGCATTTTTTTTTTCTCTATTTTTTTTTTCTTCTATTCCTTCGATTTTATATATATATTATTATTTTTTTCTCCTGCTATTTTATATAATAACATATATTGTTTATACTATACTGCGGCAAACAGTTGTTTGCCATATATAAATGGAAAAAAATCGACAGATAGTGCAATCTCTGCCACCCATTTCATTTCATTCCATTTAAACAGCAAAACTTCAGCAAATTGTTGTGATAAATCATTCATCACATAGCACTGGAACGACAAACCACATCCACAGCGCAATCATCAATAGTTCAATAAGTTGTATTTTATTTTATCACCAAGCAGTCGCTTGCCCATTTCTCAAATCGACAATGACAACGGTTTCGTCGCATGTTTGCATTTATTTTTCTAAACAAAAAAAAAGATTATTGTTTGCCTACGAATGCATTTTTCTTGTTCTCATAAAACAAATAAATAAAGACCACTGCCCTTATTGGTACTTTTTGCCTGCACATTGCACTTGCTACAGTCAATTTATGGCTGTAATTATTTTTGGCCAGAATCAAATTTTAACAATAACATTTACCTCAAATTCAATCAGTGAATACATTGGGCTAAGATATTAGTTGGTCCTATACAGTTGCTCTTCAACTCTGTGTGACACACTATATACACAAATGTACACGCAGAGTCAAAGAGCAGCTCTGCTCTTAGCATAAACGTAGCAGCTACTGAGTAGGAGCTACTGCATAGGACAAACTAATATCTTAGCGCAATGTATTCACTGAATTCAATCGAACAAACACAATTTTTACAAAGACGTAAATAGAATAAAAAACTAAATTGAAGAGAAACAATACAAATAAAATACACATAACGTAATTTTTATAATAGTTTACCATTTTTTTTGGAACACAACACAATTGCCGAACGAACAAATGAAATATTTTTGAGAGAATCAAACTTTTACAATTTTATTGAAGAATAAACACTTTATATATAGAACATAAGTATATTGCATAATTTTTTTTTTTTCAATTTTCCGCATATATTTCATATCAAATAACAATTTAACTGAATCTAGACTTTACACACTTTTCGGAAATCCATTTTGGCTCGTGAAAATACCCGTGATGATGATCTGATATTACGATAGAAAATTCTTTTTTTTTTGCAAAATTTAAAAAAAAAAAATTACCTTTTCTCTTTTTTTCTGTACTAATGGTGTGAATAACAAAAGGACGAGTTTCATTATAATTTAAACGAAAACCATTTAAATAATTTGGATATTGGTTGATGAACAGATTGAGATTAATTGAAATTGTCAGACATTTTTTTATTAGCTAGTTAAATTTTGACTATTATTCGAAAGGAAATACAAAGCGTCAATTCAGTTAATTGGAATATTTTTTTTTGTTCGAAATTCCAATGAAATTAGAAATTTTGCCCGCAATTTTAAATAAATACAGATCAAACTTATTTTGTAGGAAAATATTGAATAAAATTATTAATAAATATAAAACAAGAATGTATTTTTTTAAATTTAAATAAGCCAGAACATTGAAGTTTATTATAACAAATATTTTTTCTTTGTTAATCCTGTGTTGGTTATTTTCTATTTGAAATCTCTCGGCCGCTCTTCTGTGCAGTAATATAATGTGCATTGTGCATTCCTTTAAACATAGCCACATTTCCAGTGAGCTATTATTACGTATGGTTCGCATCCTTTTTTGTTTCTTTTTTCAATTCGTATTCATTTGCTGAGTGGTTATGATACAAAATTTTGGCGAGGTGAACCTCCAGAAATGGGACTTGTATAGAATGTTAGGGCACAGTTTATGGACTCTTTCTGCATTTTAAGTTTTTTCCCTATACGTCCAGATTTTTTTTTTAAATGGACTTTTTGGAAAAATCGAGAGTTTTGATAGTTATCAAGAGCAATCAATACTCCATGTATAAAATTTAAATACCTCATAAAAAATAACAATAAACAACAACAGACATTTCAAAAATTTCAGTTAACACGTGTATTTTTTAAAAGATTTCACACAACAACTGATTCAAACTTATATACTGAGTGAACGATTTCTTTTGTGAAAATCCCACCAAAAAATGGATAAAATTGATGAAAAATCTTTTCCAAGCGGTGAAGATGAGCAACGTATGTTCTTCGAAAGACAACGAGAATTCAGTTTCAAACTACTGGAAACGATGAACAAATGCAAAAAAAGGGACAATTTAATCTTATCATCTTACAGCATTGATCGTGTTCTGTTAATGACTTATTTTGATGCCTCCAATAAAACAAAAAGAAGCTTAGAAAAACTTCTGTATTTGAAGAATGTCGACAAAGAAACAGTAGCTCGTTCATTTCGTTCAAAACCAAACGATGATCAACATGTTGAATTTGTCTGTGCCGATAAAAGTTTTGTGTCCAATAATATCGAGTTGAAGTAAGTTTTTTCGTTAAATTTACTTTTCATTATTATCATTGATTTAAATGTAACCAAATGCGCCTTTTTTGCAGTGGACCAATTAAAAATTTGTTCAAAGAAGATGTAGGAGCATACATTGAAAGGATGGACTTTATAAACCCTGAAAATAGTCGCATTGCTATCAATAACTTTATCGAAAATACCACCAAACACGAAATTAAAAATATGATAGAGCCTGGAATAATTAATCAATCTAGTGCCATGGTTCTGGTGAATGCCGCTTACTTCAAGGCTTTTTGGATGCAACCATTCGCCCCGCACAAAACTAAAACGGAAGTATTTCATGGACTTAAAGATACTATGGTTGATATGATGCACAAAGGATGCTCGTATGCCCATTACAGTATGTGAAACAGCTTGAATTTATTTCGAATAAAAGTTTTATTAGTTTTTACATTTTGAATTTTAGCTGTAAACTATAGTATGCAGTTTAAAGCACTTCGATTAGCATTTCATGATAGCGGTGATTTTTCTATGTACTATTTCCTGCCATTCACAATAATCAGCAACATTGATATTTTTTTGAGTCGATTTTCGCGAGAAAACTTTGATAAGACAGAAGAGAAATTAAATAATATGGAATATGTTGATATTAAACTCCCGAAAATGTCATTCGAACAATCATTTGATATGATAGAGGTATAGACGATTATTAAATTGACTCATACCAAGCGCTCACATTCAATTATTTTTGCTTCTATTTTAGATCTTGAAAAAAATGGGTGTCAAACATTTTTTTTGCGGTGATCCAACGGATTTTTCCGATTTCACGACAAGTGATTTGGGAGTCGATAGCGCATTTCATAGTGCCAAAATTGAAGTTAATGAGAACGGAACAACGGCGGCAGCAAGTACTGTACAATTACTTTTCCATTACTGCAAAAATCCTATCAATTCTTTTTTTGTGATTATCCCCTTAGGTACCATAATGATCAAACGGCTTAGGTCGTATACAAGCAATCCTCCTACATTTCATTGCAATCTACCATTCGTATTTGTAATTCATGATAAACAAAGAAATGCCATTTTGTTCAGCGGAATTTACCGTGGCCCAAATTGAATCAGTTTGATGGTGAGTTATATTCCAGCTACTTGAGGACATTAAACGGTTTAAATTTTAATCCGAACAATTCTGTTTGTCCAATTGTTCATTCAACACTCTTTTCTGTATCTCATTCAAACTTTCATGAAGTACTTTTTTAAATAAAGAAAAACAAAAACACAAATATACAAGTATATTGTTTAATTTTTTTATTATTTAACAAATTTTTCTAATTCTTTTAATATTAAAATATAACAACTGAGCTATTTTGTGCTTACAATACGTATTTGGCGAAATAAAATATTTAATTACATTAAATTATTAAAAAAATTCGTTGATTAACAGTATGCTTCGTAAGCAATAACAGCATTTGATACAACGTATTGATTATTAATATGCATTTCTGTCTACATATATATTATGTATCACTCTGTGTATTCAGTCAGATTTTTCTTAATTTGCTTGTGTCAGCAAAATTCAAATTTCAACCGAAAATCACACATCTCGCATTGTTTATAATTTGACATTTCTCGCCGACGTTCATTTTGCTTGTTACTTCAAATGTGTACGGTGCATTGTTTTGATTAGTTTCAATCGTAACATTTCAGAAGGAGTTGTTTTGTAAATCAGAACACAATATATTCTGATGGTGAAATGAAAGTGACTAAATAAATCGTTTTCTTTGACAACACAAATAAAATCTCATTTTCATATCAAAACGTTTGAAAAACAGTTTCTGTTCATTTTCAAGATTGTGCTTCAAACCAAGAGTGCTGTTATGCTATTTTACAAATAATATTTTCATACGGTGATTTACATTTCGATTTTGATCATCGGCCATTTTTAATAAACGTTTACTTTTGTCGATTCAACAATAATTCCCTATAAATTCGGGTGCATTTTTGAGGTGATTCCACAGTTTAGTAAAGAATTTCACAGCAGTAAGCGTCTCTTTGACCGCTCTATATTTGTATATATATTTTTCAAATGAAAAAGTGTTTTAATTAAATTTATGCAATTATTTAATCTCTCTCGCTAGCTTTGTGTTCCAATTGTCGACCATTGCATCGTGAATACAACATTTTCGAACGCGCTTTTTGTCATTTTGCAGTGAATGTGACAGTGTTGTTGGTAAGTACTCAAAAACGAACCATTTTTCTTGATTTTTTTTTTTGAAGTGATCAATGGACTGTGTGTCACGAATTTGACAATTTTTTCGTGTTTTTTTTCTGAACAGATTTAATTTTCATTAAAATGAAGAGGAGACGTGCAAAAATAAATTCAGCCTTTAAGAAAAATACGGCAAAATTGAACGACAATGAAGAGTTGCGATCGATAAAACTGTCAGCGCCTTCGGTATTCAAGTCTGAATATTCGGAAGCGCTAACAGAGCATTTTTTCCATAAATGCTACAATGGTACAGTAATATGCTACCTAGGTTCGACATTGTTTTTATATGTTGTCAACCTTGCAGCAGATAACGATGATCGGCAATATTTCATTGACAGTGATGGAAAAAATGTTATACGTGAGTGTTTCGCCGCCGTATCACGAGAAAATTTGGAAAATCCAAAACAACCGAAAATACCACGTGGATTCCTTGAAATGATTGCCGATGATCAATTTGAATGGCCAAGTAGGTACCAAATGGGCAACGCATTTGAATACTTGAATCAACAATATTTGTCAAATGTTACGACAAATTTGACAACGCATTTAGATAATATATTGGAGAGCTTCTTGCAAATGATTCGCTATCAATTGAACGAAGACCCTAATCGGCTCATAAAATTTGATGGCATTGACATAAGAAATGCAAAGAACAATCTTATGTTCAATCAAGATTGTACCGGAGGCGATCAACACCGAACGAACAAAATGAATGAGTTGTATGAACAAGTCGCCGTACGCTGTTTACCATCATTTCGCGAACGTTTGTCAATGATTGAATACATCGAGAAAAAGTGGTTTGAATCGTTGTTTTTTTTCATCTTCATTCAACGTGAAATAAGTATATTTTTGGAAGAGCATCACGATCTTGTGCAATTATGGCTACGACACCAACGCCATCCGCTTTTTTATTGCAAACCATCCAAGCCATTGCCACCAAAAATAAGAAATTTCACCGTCATACCGATATGTGACTCGCAGTTGAAACACATTAAATTCGATCAAGTTGATTTGATGAGCCTGCTGGCCCAATGGAAAGTTGTGCCGAAGATATTTAACAATGATGATGGAGGGCATAATATGTATAGCCGTAACTATTACAAGGAGAACGAAGATGAGGCATGGGCCATTTTGTTCAACATGGACAAAATCAACGAGATCAAGAAACCGAACCAAAACTTTCATCACATGATAGTCTGCGATAGCGTTTCCGCGTCGGTATTGTACAGAACACCAAAGCCTGAGATCGAGAATACGGAGCTGCATCGACAAAGAATCAAGCAAAAACTCGAGAACAATGAGTATAAATACATCGTCGCAATTGATCCCGGTATGAAAACATACTTAGCCGGAATTCGTCGGAATATTGAAGATCGCACTGAGGTGAGTTTATATTTAAATAAAATGTTTTCTACAAAAATCAATGCTCATTTTTAAATTTTTTTGTTAAAGGAAAATTTCAAGATATCTTCGAAGTCATATCATTGGGGTGCCGGACAAAAAGTCAGAGACAAAATGGGAAAGCTTATGACTGCCAGATTCACGCAACGAGAGCAATTGGACCGTGAAAGCTATCCATCGATACCATCACCGCGAGGAATCCGATGGAGAAATTACGTCAGGCATCGATTAACCATGGTGAAAGATGCAGTGGCTGCATATGCTCGGCGACGTTATGCACGACTTTCGTTTGACAAATACATCGGGTCACAAGGTGAGAAAGATTGGCTGGCGAAAGTAATAACAAAGAATGAGCCATCGCTTATAAACATCGGAGCAGTGGATATGGCACCCAATTCACCAATTGGCATAAAAAAGGGAAAACGATGCCCAGGTACACGGAATCTTCAATGCAGCGTTAAAAAACTTGGCCATTCAGATGTACACAAAGTGAATGAAGATTTCACATCTCAACACTGTGCGAATTGCCAGAAGAAATTCCCGATTCAAACACAAAAATATCGATTCAAAGTGTGCCGTAACTGTACTCGCGATGCACCAATACCACAAGAAATAGAACCGTATATCTCACTACCACGGCTAATTGTGACGAAGAAGAGTCAACGACGCAAAAAGAAAGATAGCTGCGTGAAGAAATTGATCGCAAGAGGCATCATGGATCCAGCAAATCAACCAGCAGAATTTCAACCAGGGCGATTAGAGTCAAAGAAAATGTACTTTCTGAAAAACTGGCTACTAAACCCTGTGAATGCAATTCAAATGGGAGGCGACGCTGATAAATATCCGGAACAACAACAACAACAGCAACATCAAAAACGATTTTGCACCGTTTGGCATCGAGACATTGTTGCGGCTAGATGCATCATGTACAAAGGTAAACACTGTAATTTATTTGGTATATTTTCCAATAAATTAAATTGCCTCTTATTAATTACAGGTCTTTGTTACATATTCAATTTGGAAATGCACAACTCGTATGTCAGAGCACCAGCACCTCCAAGACCACCATTGCGTAGAGGACAACCAGCACGCAGAAGAGCCAATGCAAACGTTGTTCCAGATCAATGATTAAGCAGCGTCGAAATCAAAAAGAAAAAATATAATAACTCTGGTAGTTAGTAGCAAAGCTTGTATTTTGTGGCTTTGGTGATTGTGTATAGTACACATTGTCTAAATGTGTAATTGTACACAGTTCAGTACAGATTTATCTGTAGGTAAGTATTATTTTATCAAATGTTAAAAATGAATTTAATTTGGATGTGGCGCTCAGTTAAATAACATTCGAAAAAAATCCATTTTCGCCGATAGAAATATGGCTCTATAGATTTTAGCTAACTTTTTCTTTCTCCTTCTTTTTCTTCCACTGGTGACGTTGAAAATGACTGAAACTACACACAAATCCGGCCACAAAATTGACCGTCAACATATGCCCGATAATGGATGAATTTGCCCCAACAATTGTTTATTGGGTAGGAAATAGAATAGGTAAAAGTATAAATTACACACACTCGCTCCTTTCAATGTTTGAGTTAAATCCATAGATATGATAAAACGACTTCATTTCGATATAAACTGATAACAACAATTCTCAAAAAAATTACTTTTCACGTTTTATGCCCTGCGGATCAATATATGGTCTGGGTCAATTGAGCAGAAAAATTTCAATCAATATATCTTTTAAAAAATTAAAACGCCCAAATTAAAAAATATTACAAGAATTGTTTATATACCCGAGTGGAAAAAAAGTGACTAAGTTACTATTGACTGTAAGTGACTATAGTTAGCTATATTCATGAATTTTAAAATTTTGTATGGGAAACAATCGACTATAGTTACTCAGTCAGTCAAGCGATTATTTTGGGACGTTTTGACTATCGGGTGACTATGATTATTGTCAACTATAGTTAGCTGTTGCAGTTAACCATAGCTTACTTTAATTGATTGAAGTTAACTAAATTTAACTAAGGTTGCTTGTTTTTACAGTCAATAGTCAGTCAGTTTGTCCCAAAATAGTCAGTCACTTTTTTTGTACACGGGTATTTTATCAGAAGATAAATATTTATTTTAATACAAACTCATGTTACAAACAAAACAACATCAAATTTTTATCCACAAAATAGCTGAAATCTATCCCAATTAATATTTAATAATTCTAGCCAAATGCAATTTCAGTTAACTTCTACTCGATTTAAATTGATTAAAAAATTCGAAAAAAATTATGCAGAATCTTTTAAAAATAATGAGTAAGCGGTTTCGATGGATTACATGAATACGAACAGTCTTTGATAGTATGTGTAACGCGTAAATATTCGTTACGCGATCGTAATCGTCAATGATTTTGGTACATTCCTTAAAATATCTTGAATATTGAAGTCGTTTTGTGGTTTATTTTGTATTTGATCATGCGTTCGATCATAATAGTCATACAATTGTTCGATCGGAAATACTTCGGTAAGAACGGTGTTAAATGTCATAAGGATTTCGTTCGATTCATTTGCAGTTGGTTGCTTCCAAACATTTCTACTGTGTGCATTGTTCGTATCAATTTCATGTGGTATCGATGTCATCTGGTTTAATTCTTGTTGTTTTTCTTTGTACTCATTTTCGTAGTAAATTGATGTGCCCAATTGTTGTAATTTTTTAAAAATATTGGTGCGATTATTCAAACTTGATGTGTCCAATCGTTTGTGTGGCAACAACGACGAAATCTGAGTTTTTCGTTGTGACCGCATTAGGTGATATGTTGAACTTCGTTGATGTACTGTACGGTTTTCATTACGTCTCAATGAAAACCTACAGCTTCGACAAAATATTCGTTGTCTACGTCGATTCAAATGTTTTTTAATTAATTTTCCGCAACGTTCACAATTCCTTCGAATATCCGGCGTTTCATTCAATTCGATGACGGTTGTAGATTGAGGAAATTCATCAAGATCATTGCCCTTTTCACACTGATTTCTATTTGGATAGTAGAGATATTTTTTCAGTCGATTTCTCAGCGTTTGAATTACATTGTTCACATCCACATTTTCATCATGTTCCATTTCTTCATCATCACTGACTACTATCAATTCATTTCGACCAAATTGTTCACGATCATCTGATTAAAGAAACAAAAAATCGAAAGATATTATAAAATATTTGAACTCTTTTCCGTCCGATTTATAAAAATTGTACTAGTATGTGTGATGTGTAAGTGTTCAAAGGAGGTGCGCGCCATGATTATGCATGAACAGCTGCACATTTTTGATTGTATCTAGCGCGCACGCGACATTAAACACAAATGTAAAGAAAACATAAACAAGAACAACAACACCGCCATCAATAACGATAACCAAATAAAATGAAGTGAGAGACCGACGGTTTGGCTGTATGAATTTGTATTACTTACCACTTGTTTTTGTTGCGGTTTGTTCGCGTGCATTTGTTGTAATTGCTGCTGACATTGTTGATGATGTGGTTTGTGAATCTTCGTGACTGCTATCATCGTTTTTCTTTTGTACGGTGTACCAATTGATTAGCCAATTATTGCAACTGTAGCATAAGTATTTATCATCGTTGAGTGGTCGCATTTTGAATTTTTCACTTATCACATCGACCATATTTGGACCACGGCGCGGCTCATGAATATTGATTATCAATGTTGTGTGACTACCGCAAATAAAACACACTTTTTTCGCCTGATTTTGTGTATTTTCCGACACCGATCCATCCCAATTTGAATATTCTTCCGGCGATAATTGCTTGTCTGAAGACATTTTTTTTCTTCTTCTTCGATTTGGTTTTAATTCGCTTATTTTCACTTCTCAACACAATTTGATTTTTTAAACAAATTTTCTATTTAATTTTTTGTTCAATTTTTTTTTCTTCTAGAAAATCGTTTTTTAACTATACAACAACTTGAACAAAAATTCGTTTTTCTTATTATATTTATTTTTTTTGGTCAATTTACTTTGGATAAATTAAAACTATTTGTAACTTTGGCTTGAGCACTGAGAAAAAAAAATTTTTTTGGTTAAAATGTGAAAATGTGAGTGAATGATTCACAGCAAACAGTGCAACGGTATCGATGGTAGCAGCATCAAAACCAAAATAATGTAAACATAAGTGATCGAGCATAAGGGTAACTCGGACTCGAGCGCGCACATTAAATTGTGAAACGAAAACAACAACAGCATACATGAACGACAACATTTATGTATGTGCATTTGTGTGTGTGCGTGTATATCCACATGCTGTTCAACGGTACCTTCAATACCTACTTCTCTATCTGTTCTATGTGGTATAGAAACCTAGGAGAAACCGAAAAAAGGCTAAAAAAAATGCCATAATGTGTGCATGTTTCAGTTAAACGCATACACACTCACATTCATACACCAAATACATGACATTGCGAATGCTTGTTACCGACTACAATATGCACCTTTAAAAAATTAATTGTTATATAGTTTTTCTACGATGTATGTTGATACAAGGAGACAAGCACTAAACAACAGCAGCAACAGAAAACAGCACTAAGACCCTTTGGTAACATTCAACTTAAACGATACATAAACCTTTCGGAAAAAGAGAAAAAAACCTTCACTAGAAACACAATATGTTCAACAAATACCGTATTTGAATAGTCTTTCATTCCCTTTTCTCTTTCCTTTCGGTCCGTTATTACATTTTGTTCCTATGCCATTGGTTCGTGCTATACGTTCGAAGATCCCTTTTTTTGTTTCATGTTATTAATTTCTTTCGGCAGTGTGACACGGTTTTTGGGTAATAGAACCGTCACCTCATCATCGACGCGCCAGAAAACAGCTGAATCAAAAATCTCTCAAATGTGTGTATGTGTCTTCTTGTATTGAATATGTCGGATGAGTATCATTTTTTTCTTCCATTGTTCCATCGCACACAATGCGTTTGATGAATCGAAAAAGATGTGGTTGAATTCAACATTGCACCCGTGTGTGCATCAATTCTACGGCACATATATACTACTTTTTTTCCAGCCAGAAACCCGTAAAAATGTGTTTCCGTCTCTGTCTCCCACATCCTATTTTTGTGTCAACAAAATTTCCGAAACTGGGCATATGTAGCGAGAAAATAAGCTGAACGACCTTTTTCATATTTCAAGCGGTAAGATTGTTCCTATTTAATCTATTTTTTTTTGTTTTGTTTCGTTGATCGCTCACTTTATTTTGGAGCGCCCGTGATGGAATTGAAGGAAAATCAGAGAGACAAAAAATTTATCAAAATGTTTTCTTTTTCCCTTTTCGTCTCTGTTTTTGATGGATTTTCTTATCATACCTTCTTTTTAGATGAATTATTTGAAACGACAGATGGTTTGACAATAAGAAAAAACGGTTCGTCATAAGTTTGTTAAATCCACATAAATATGATTCGATATATGATTCTTTTTTATTTGTTTTGAATGCGCGTCATACTTCGAACTTCCGATCGACGAAGCACCAAACGATAAATGACAAAAAACAAACAAACGAACTTATCTTTTCATTTTAAGACAATACGATTTTAGTGAGTTTTATTACTGCTGGAATTTTCAACAATACAAACCTTTTTCAAATGCTTTTTTTGAAAATACTTAGTTAGCGGTATACGGTTCTTTGTCTCCAATTTTGCGTTTTTGTTTTTCTTTGCCGATTTGTACCTGAATTTAAATGGAAAAAATACGAAATGTTGTCATATCTGATTTGAAAAAATGTTCAAAATCATAAATAGTGTAAATAGATACACAGTAAAATAAGGCAGAAACAAATTTGTAGGCTCTTAAAATTCAGCATAAAAATAGGAAAATTTATTCATTGCATTTGAAATTTGTGTGAAAAAAAAAAACAAATATTTGAAACAGTAAAAAAATAATAGACATCACCCATTTGAGCCATTCGGCTCAAAACTAAAACAATGCAAAGATTAAACGTAATATACATAGTAATTGCCATAAATAACAACTAATTACATATATTTTTTATAAAGTTCAGAAACTATTGAATGTTCAGTAACTACAAAATACAATACATTTTAAAGTGGCAAGTTTGAACTGATTTTTTGTTTATTAAACCATCAATGGCATTGGATTGTGCTATTGTGATCGTTGTTGATAAATCTAACAATTGAATTCTATTGCATTGTAATAAAATCTAGTAATACTATCTTAAAGATGAAATCAAATTCGTTCTTTTTTGTTGTTGTTGTTCTAAAGACAGGTTAGCTGGCTTTGTCATTCGTCAAACAAATGCAATTCACGAGTAAACTGAATTCACTGTCAATACAATGATAAAAGTAACGATTTACTCGCTTTTTCAATTGCACGTACTACTAGTTATATTTTGCATATATATATATTTTTTGGTTAATAAAAGTTTGAAATAAATTTCATCGTGCCAAAGTTTTTTTTTCTCTCTCTCTTCATATTGGTGGCACCAATTGATTTTAAAAACATTTTTTTTTAAAAGACACATTCTCACTGAATTGAAGTCCACAATCACGAATCGATCCATCGAAAATGTTATACATTTTGTTTGGAATTGTTAGAGTAAAATTGACGAAGTGCAGTGTTGAAAAGGCATGTTTGCCATTCAATAAAAGTCAATTCAATTACGTGCCGCGCCCAATAAAAATCCTTTGGCCGTTAAAACGCCACGACATTTTATGTGTACTTGATAGCGTGATGTCCATGTCGGTGTGAATGGTTGAAGGTTGAAAGGTTCATTATTCAATTCTTTGAATGAATTTTTTGCGATAATCACTGCAAATCAAAAGAGAAATTATTAAAATCCGACAATTTTCGATGATTTAAATTTTATAAATTGAATTTACCTTCGGAATCGCTGTGTGTCAGAAGTTGAATTTCATTTTTTGCACAAAATTCCTGCATTGATGGCGGCACAACACAACAAGCGCTTAAATTGATCTGTGAAATGGCCGGTTTAACACGAGACGACGCATACAAATTGATAAGTGTGTCCGTATCCAAATCAGCAATGCCCAATTGACAAATTCGTTTATCGTCTGCATACGTTTCAAGGGCTTGCCATAAAATTTTCAACTCATCAACGGCCGTTGGATTCTCACTCCAGGTGAAAAGACTGTCTTTCGACAATGACGAACCGAGTGATGTACCATTTTGATGGCCATTTGATTTTTCGATGCCATTTGTTTCGTTCAATGGATGATAGGCCAATATTAAATTATCCAAATGATCAATCTCAAGCAATTTCAACAAACTATCGATTGCATCATGCAATAGATTCGGATTCGAATGATTTAGAAATACTTTAGCGCCAATTTTAATGTTATTTCGTTCAAATTCTTTTACTTTCACCAGCAAATCGTCATTGTTTCGCGCTATTATGCCAGCTTTGACGTCAATCACCGGATCTGATGCTATCAAACTTAGGCAATCGAATAACTGAAAAAAATACATTTTAAATTAATAAAATGGGGGAAAACAAAGATTATCGAAATTGATTTTTACATAAAATAGAAATAACAAGAGTAATTTTCCTATAGTTTTCATAATCAATTATTACATTAATTGACGTATCACCGCACCGAAATTTTTATTCGGTCGAAATACCTTTCGATGATACGAGTCATTTTCGAACACTCTTTTTTGCACTCTACACCGAAATTCTTTTTGTCATTGTGCATTTGATGTGCAGGCATTACAAGCAACTAAAGTGAAGAAAAAAAGATGAATAATCTAAAGTCATATGAGTTTATTAGTTAACGTTATCGGCTCGATTTTCTTATCTTCAACAGACGGAACTTGTCATCAATGATAAAAGTTTAACGACAACAATATATATATATATATATATTTCATCGTGAATCGACGTAGTTGGTAATTCCAGATAATACGGTTGGTTTTTTTTTCATTCACTCCAATTGGATGTCATAAATAATTGCGAAAAAAAATCGCAAAATTATATGACCTTCAAATTAACACATTGTTCGTTTGCCAACTTGAATATTTGGCCCAAGACGATGAAAAAGAAAGACGGACAAATAAACGCCAATAGAGACAGCAATGAATGTCTTTCTCAGTTATTAAACAGTATACAAAATATTTTTGCCTAGTCATCAATCAACTAGATTGAAAGGAAATGCCTTAGAATCAGCATTATATACTAAAATCCATAAACAAATATAAAAGAAAAATACAAGAGAGAGTAAGAGAGAGAGGGAGAGAGAGAGAGAGAGAGAGAGAGATGTTAATAATAAATCTATCACTATGAATGACTCACAGTGTGCTCACTAAAAAACAGACAAATGGCAAACAAAGTTAATTTGGATTATAGTAGCTCAAAATTACAGGAAGCTGTAAATTTAGAATCAATAGTCATCGCTCTTTAGTACGCAATCATTTTTTTGGAATTTCGATTCGCGTCCTTGACGTCGTATCGAAAAAAAGACAAAATCTAGTTCAAGTTCGAAAGTTCGAGACTAAAATGAGATAAATTTCAGAAGATTTGTGGTCTTGTTGTGACTATTCAATGCGAAAGATTGTTAAGAGAAAATGTACTACTTACTTCTTCGTTGGTTTTTTGGCCTGCCTTTTTGTTAACATTCAGAATGTTTCCAGTGCTAATAATAATGTTTCTCTTATCGTAAAGCATTTTTGTAAATTAATTGAATAAATAAAATCGGTCGAATCGGCTGAATTTTACGTTGAATACGTGCCTATAAACCTGTTGAAAACAAACCACACAGATATGAATGAGATTTTATAATAAAATTGAATCCATTGTTTCCTACAAATAATGCAGTCAATCATTATTTCTTGAAATTTATTAATCAAATACTTAAAACACTATTATGCATTTCGTTGTACGATAACAATGTAAACAATTTACTGAGTTTGTAAACAATCGACACGAATGACATTAAAAAATGTGCAAACCAGAAATAAACAGGTTTAAACAAAAAAAAATGCTGAGATATTGTCGATTTCTTGTGATTTACAATCAAATCAAATTGAAATACAGTGTTGCATTTGCAGATGTTGTTAGTTACAGTTTATTTCCTTTCGGCTTGTGTCATGTGCCATAGATACGAAAATTTGCTCGTTTAAATGACATATAATTCGTTCAACATCACACTACAAATTACATTCCAACATAAATTTGACAGCAGTTTTAGCGAATACGAACCGAAACAGACACTATTACGCATACCTTTCGTCGAAGTCGTAAAATATATTGTAAAATGAAATAGTTGACACGGTGAAAGAGAGATAGAGAGAGAAGCAAAAAAAATATATAGCACGAGTTGTGTATGAATCTGAACAAAATAATCACCGCCCATTAAACAAAAACAGATTGAATAGCTCGGACGTATGATTGAAGTAACATCAATCAAATCTCAATGCTGAATTTGCTGATTTGCGTTTTTTTTTTCTTTCGTTGCTTCAATCGTTTGATATAAAATATTTGCATTGACCATTGGTCATGATTTGATTGATGTGAGTTGCTGATGCAGTATGCCATCACTAAAAAGGGGAAAATTTGCACTTTGCTCTATAAATTTAAAATGTACTCTCTTTGATATGTTATACAAGGTTGTCAACGCTTTTCTATCTTTTTATTTCCTAGTTTTTTTTTGTACACGATAAGATATGACAAGCAGGAAAATATTTGCTCTCGGATCCGTAATTTTCTATATATCTAAAATATTTCACAATTTATTGAAAGTACTCATTTCTATTCTTGGAAAATTGAGTCAATTTTACGCGACACTTTTCGATACACTAATAACAAACAAACAATAAAATCAATCATCGATTTTTTAAATGTTTTTCATTTGTCATGAACAATTGAGTGCTTGTTTGTCGTTGTTTAAATTTTTAAAACGTAAATCAAAATCACCTTCTACTCGTGGTTTTCGTCGTTGTTGACGGCGAATTGGTCGAGGGGGGTTTTCAGTTGAAATTTATTCCAAATATTTTGAATCACAATCGCGCGTATATTAGCGGTGCAAGCAATGCCACTTTATGTCTTTTAACATGTACACGCTTTGATGAACTACGTTTTAATGCCGCTTGACCTAGGTTTTGTCTCTTATTCTCTTTGAACGTGTTTATAAAGTAATATAGAATTTTACAACTTCTTTTCCTGATAATATTTCGTTTTTTTTTCGTATTTGATTCTATGCCATAGTTGATAAATAACTGGACACTAACTAATATTCGATTGTTTTGCGTATGTGTGTGTGTTAAATGAAATTTTGTGTGATTGAAGAAGCAAAAAATGAATTTATTAAAAAAACGTTGTTATTTGTTTTGCCCACATGCAAACAAAATAAACACTAGATATCAATGTTAATTATTATTCTCTTTTTTGTGCACTTTTCGATGAATTTAAATATGTGAATATTTATGCACACATTTTCGTTTTCTATTTCAATAAATCGAACGAATATATTCTTTTGCAAAATATGATAATACACATGTTTTGGTTCTCACATGAATTGAAACACTATCTAGTTTGGAGGCGAACAAACGACAGGCAACCAAAATCCGACGAAACAACATACACATGGCAATACATCCATGGTTTATGACATCGCGCGTCTATGTAGTGGTGTACGCTATTCGCGTGTCAAAACACAGGCAGAACGAATCGAAAACAGAGCAATTGTGAATGAATAACGCTATCAAACATACGTTTGCTGCTGCTATTTCATTTGTGTGTATGAGTGTGAATCGCGCACATTTCGCAAAAAAAAATTTACCCGATCGAAAAGTATTTATGTTCGGTAAAAATGTGATTTGTTACAACATGTTTTATTTTTCTTGTCATCGTGATGTGCCATTCACTCCGCTTGATTCTAATCAGAAAGATTTTTGAGTGAAATTGTCCACTTGTCCTTGCCAACGAACGAAACATAGAGAAGCAGAGAGAGAGGGAGAAAGCGACAATGTGAAAAATATGTTTGTTGTTCTAAGTACACTTCAATTTGTGTGACTAATTAACATTTATGAGCGAAACATAATTGATTATTATTAGAGTTCATATAATCACGATTGATTGTGAATAGTTGCGGCATACATGCGTCTCAAAATCAAAAACCAATTATATAAATGCGCGTTCAAAGATCCTGCATTATTATTGCAGATCGAATGTGCATGTGCTCGTAGTCTTCTCTCATTTAGTCATCGTTTAAATTTGCTGTAATGTGCGATGACGCAATTCATCAATAGAATCCGACACAGATGTCGACGATGTGCAAATTTCAACAGCAACTACAGATTATATTATGTGTTTACAATGCAAGTAGCCGAGTTTGTGTGATGTCACTGTGAATAAAACTCTTGTTTTTCTCGGTCTGCCGACAAAATAAATGAATCGTATATAAAAACAACTGGCGCCGAATAAAAAACGAATGGATGCAAACATAATTATTTAAATTATTTATGAATTGATAATAATAGCCTAGAATTTATTTCGTTTTTTAATAAAAAAAACATGAACAGTATATATATCTCTCTGTTAAAACTTTGTGATGTTAAGTCGAGTTCGTTCTTGGGCTAGAAAACGTTTCTCAGCATCGGTTGATTTGGTCACAACATGAAATGTAAGAATGCCCCGACCCACCAAGAAACTAGAAATAGCAGAAAGAACACACAAAATGTGAATGATGTAAAATCATCGAATGATTTATTGTAACATACTTCTTATCACTTGTGATTTCCTTGATCGTTTTCCGTACATCGACTTGATGTATTGTTGCTTTGATGCGATTTTCAAAGTACACATTCACCGTATCTGGTTTGTATTTATATGTTTTGTCCTGTGGCATTCGTTCCGAAAATAAATCACACAGAATGTCATAGATTCTGAATGGGAGGAAAAATAATACATTAACGGCGTAATTCAATGATTAAAAATCTAATAAACGGTCATCACTTACGTATTATTATCATAAATCTGCTGTTGAAAGTCGCATATTTCAAATTCTGGATAGCAAAATACTGCTGGCCAACGCAGCTGACCAACGTCGGTTATTTGAATGGGATACTCTTCGAGCGGTAAATATGACGGTTTTATCAGATCTTCATATGCTGATGTTTCAAGTTGTTCTTCGAATCTAATGTTCCTCGATTTAAGTTCTTCAATCGTTCGCTTCAGCGTTTCACCTTTACGCCGTTGCTCATTCTGCTTTTTTCGTTCATCGCGTAATTCTTGTAAATGTGTCTCACGTGCCTTCTTTCGTAGATCCAAGCATTTATCATTTTGACCATATTTATCGATGTACTGATTGCACAATTCAATGCATTCTTCGTACTTTTTCAAATGGAATGAACATTGTGCCATACGAAATGCGGCCTTTTCATAATCGGATTTCAATTCAATGGCCTTTTTTGCATCGAAAAATGAAGACCTGTGTGCAGAAAAAAGGTTGTGTAATTGATTTTTTTCATTTTAAAATTACTAAAAAACACAACATACCTATAATTTTTCAAAAAGAAATGCGCTGCACTTCGATTATTGTATAGTGTTGCATTCAATTCGGTATTTTCGCATTTTTGATTTAAGCCTTCGGTGTAACTATAAATTGCCATTCGATATTTTTTATTTTTCATATCGTAATTGCCGTCGTCTTTGTATGTGGCTGCTAGGTCTTCTAGTGTATTTTCCATTGGATCATATTTTAACTGTTGAATACCTAAAGTGAGCAGAAAAAAGTGTTTTGTTAGAGATTTTTTATGAAAATAGGATGCGCTGGGTGTCTCCTACTAAATATAGGAGATATTATAAATACCTTCGAGCATTGGATGTAATTCGTCACCAGGTTTTGGTGATTCTTTCATAAAAAATGGATGCTTATTCATTTCCTAGTACAAAAATAGAAATAATTAACAATAATCACTCAAACGATGATTTTCATTAAAATGATTACCTCTTCCCATCGATCTTCAGGCCATCCTTCAGTGTAACCACGCTTTTCTAACGAATCGATAAAATCATCCAGTTCTTTGTCCATCTTTTCAGCCAACGCTGCACGTTCCTCGTCAGTCATTTTGGACGTTGGTTTTTTCGACACTTGTTGGTCATCATCTCTGTCTATTTCCTCGATTAATGCCATTTTATTGAAATTACTTGCAAAATTTTAAAAAATATAGAGTTTTTTTTTTAGACATAAACAAAATGTATGGAATATTGGGTTCGAAATGCGGAGAATACTTGCACATGAGCTGTCAAACTTGTACACACTACATGCTTTCAATTTAAAACGTCAAATATTACGTAAAACGTACACTGCGCCAATGGCGGCAATTTTAAAAACAACATTTCTCACAAAATTCAATAAAATTCTCGACCATCAACCATCACATTTTACAATACAATGTATTTTTTTTTTCATTTCAATTGCAATCCAAAGAAGAAGAAAAAAAAAACAATTTTTTTTTCTTTGAAATATATAAATATTCAAGATGGACCAATAAAATGACTGAAATGGGTTAGCGTCAAAACTTTTGTATTCTTTTGTTGCTGTTGTTGTTGAAACTGTACTTTGGAACAAATTCAAAATGTTTATTTCTTACAATTATATTCAATCGGAGAATTAATGACAGTAATTGGTGCATTGGTTTATTTTTTATAATTACAAAGAAAAAAAAATCACAGTCAACAGAGAACGTTCTACAATTCTGACATGAATTTTTGTTTTACGCTTTTTTTCATATCATAAAACTGCTCAATATTATTGAGAATCACAAACAAAATTTCTATATAGAAACACTGCGACACAAACTTAACTACATTCATATGTTCGGAAATCGAAATGCATCTTTGTGTTTAGATTAAAATATTAAATATAAACAAGATGCTTAGCGGGCAAAAACTGCGACGCCTAAAATAACAAATACACAAAGGAGAATGAAAAATGCCAGTGAAGTGCAATCTGAACATATAATAATCTCGTTACGCTATAGCTAATGTCTGGATATGGTTTGGTTGTTGTTGTTTCTGCAGAAAAAAAAAGAGAGCGACAGAGAGAGAGAGCATGTTTACGTCTGAGTAGTGATGCTGATGAAATGGATAGTTACAAATACAGCACGTGTATGCACATTACACACATTGTAGTATTGTTCTGTGCTCTGCATGACATAAAACACATAACGAGAGCAAAAAGAAACATTTATTGTAGCATAGCGACACAGTCTCTCTTTCTCTCGCAGCATTGATAGTGTGAGTTAACCAAGTGGTTTGTTGTATGCAGATGGTTCGTGGCTGGCAAAAAATCAGCAGCTTAAAGCACAAACAACCATTGGAACAATGAGATACCAACCGAATAGCACACGCCATAAAACTCAATACGAATTACATTTGTGCAACTATATTGTTCTAATATTATTTATATAAAATTGTTTGTGTGTGCTTTGTTTTTTTAATATCTATTTGGAATACGATTTTCGGTGCATGCGACCGATAGAGAGAAAGAGTTTTAGTTCGTTTTAATAAATTGGTGGTAACTAATCATTCAGACAGCTGATGTCGAAGAGCAGGTGAAATCGTTTCGCTATTATTATTTTTTTTTTTCGTTCGGTTTTTTATTATTGTGTGTGGAATGCCAGATCTTTGTTGCCCCATTTCCTCGTCGACCCGTTAATCCTTCAATTTGTTTTGTCAATGGAAGTCGGAATTGAATAATTTCAATTTAGCGTGTAGATGTGTGTTGTTTTTTTCATCGTCTTCTTTTGCTCAATCAAGATTTCGTGAGTGTGTGGTTTTTTTTTTTGCGCTATGGTATATTGCATTCGCTTCCATTCGCGAATCAACTGTGTGTGATACAACAACAAAACAAGAACATTTAATTTATACAGATATTTCAACGACAAGCCAAGAAAATGTGAGGAAAACAACAACCAAAAATGCCATTCTACGTTGAATGCAATCGAAAAAATACGAAAAAGTGCCAGAAACATCGGAGACTTGCAGATATATTTTCAAAATAGAATATATTTCGTTATACGTTTGGTAACAATAGAAATGAATTGTGAATTGCTTAAATCGAGTGCATATTTTTTTTTTTAAAGAAGATGAAAACAAAATGTGCATAATTGAGAACAAAAGGTAGTGTAGTTGTACAATACAAAGTCTCTCATTATATTTTGCAATTTGAGACTTGTGTGTGCAAAATGTGTGAGATGCTGTAAAATGATTAACATGTTGTATATATGTTTCTCTTGTTATTTGCCAGCAAACTGCCTGCCAGCCACATGAAAACGTTGACGCACACAACATCCGCACCGAAGGATAACCAATGAAATAATAGCGAAAAAAAATTATGCATATATTCAATTATGTTGGAGCTCATTCACGCGAACGAATAAAGAACATGGTCACACTTGAATGATCATACTCCGAAGCATTGTATTTGTATTCGATAATTAGTATTTCATCGTTATTGTAATGTCACGTTACGGGTGTCGAAAGTGATAAAGTGTGTTAACAACAATTAGTTTTTGGCAGCGGGGACCACGACCACAACGACGGCGGTCAAAAAGTTGAGAGGACATTTTATGTGTGTGTGCGCATTTGATTTTGGTAATGCGAGATAGTGCAAGTGATTTGGATGATATTTTAATTTGTCGGGCATTTTTCATTGTTGGCCAACGGCTGCGAAAAAAACCATTTTAACAATGAATGAACGAAGCGGTCGCCATAGTCGAGTAAGTCCATCACCGGGCAAAGGTGCCACAGCCGCTTACACATTATGCCCAATGAACGATCCAGATATAATGACCGGAAGCAGTGTTCTATCGATTCCAATGTCTGCAATTACATTACCATCGAAAAATCCAACGAAAGAAGGTTTGTGTCAACCACTTTTATTTCGGCTTCATTTTTACCAACAACTCCAACTAAGCGATACTAATTTTGCAATTCTGTACGAGTTCAAACCACATTCAAACAAAACCACATTAATGGTTGCATCAAGTTTTAAGTTGGCATAAATATTTTGTTATTGCATGAAGCACACAATTCGCCTCAAAGTATTCCAAATTCATTTTGAAATTCAGATGAACGTTATAAAGTTTTGTGAATTTATTGTTCCGAACACTTTAGTTTTGTCCGCATTCGGTTTTTTTCCCTCCTGCTCAGTCAAGTCATTTTCCTGAGGATATTTGATATTTTTGCTTGATAAATTGCTGAATGTACTTTTTTTGAACTACTGTTTTATTTTACATTTCGAATAAAAGGAAAAAAGTCATTTTTTTTTATTAGGAATTGTGGTCACAAACACCCAAATCACGTGTATGGCCAATGTTTTCCAAAAAAAAATGTGCAAAAAGGTTCTCAAAATATGCAACATAGTCATATTCAAAACGGAATACAGACTGGTATATATATTCATTTCATCATGTTATGCTGTCTAGACGATTAACTTTCAGCTAGATGAGCCCAGTGCAAAATACACGCGATCATAAATAATGCTGAGTTGACCTGAAAATAAAGAATCGACTCGAGCATTTCATGCATTTTGTGGCTCACTAAATCTCTTTACTGTATTGTAGTCTGTATCTATGGCATCCTTATATATTGTTTTGAACGAATATTCATGGCAAATAACCCGTATTATTTATTAACTCTTTTAAATTACCACTCTCGTCATCCCTTTACTCAAAAATTCTCGTGCTCGATTCTCGTGCACTCGGTGGAAATATCAACCAAAAAAAAAAACATTTTCCAGCCAAAAGCAAAATTGTAACTTTTTTGATTTATTTCGTTATTAGCGCAATTTTCTTTTTGCCTTGTTATCAAGCGGGGTTGGCGTATATGAGATTGGGAACTTTTTTATGCGAACGCAACTGATCAGCGCCACCTCACATTAGTTCGAATTAGATCGAAAAACTGAATTTAATTCTGTAGCATTGAAATGAAAAAGAGAAAAAACAACAACAATAGCACGGCCACACAGAGCTGTACATCTATGCGTGCTGATGCATACATACACATATACGCTTTCTTCATTCTTTCATTCCATTGTTATACGTATCTCACTGGTCAACAGATCTATGTAGCCATGTTACTGTTGTTGTTTTTTTCCTCTTTTTCGATTCAATTCATTGCAACTAATGGGAGTTCAACTATGGAATACAAGATGGCACAGATGAGGGGAATTCGCATTTTGTCTCTTCATAGGCTTAGCCGGTTGCTTGTTATTCGTTTCGTTTCGTCTGTCATCCAATTTCAAAACATTATACGGTATTAACTTCTCTGCATCACTTCATTGTATGTGTGTGTGTGTGCACCTTTTTCGGCATTTTTATTTTTAGAATCGCAAATGAGTGATGCACTTTATTTATGTGAATGCGTCCGTGTCAAAACAATTGCAGCATTTCAAAAAATATGAATAGTTGAATACACAGATAACAGTTTTAGATTGTGCGAAAGTGTGCATGTGTATACATAGAATTGACGTTTTGCTTGCAAAACACGATTGACGCTGATGAATGAATATCGTACTGACATATTCTCTACCATGCTATATAATAGATATATTCAATCACATGATAAATCATGCGCGCCGGTTTTGTAAACAAAGCGATGGATGCATTCATGACGCTTTGAACATGTGATTGATTTTTAATGTTTCTCAAAATATGTTGTGTTGTTCTTTGTTTTCAATTTCCATTTGGAGTGTTTTGGCTTTTCTCACTCCTGACTGGAAACATTCATTTTGCATGCCGAAAACCATACGGCGTACGGTACTGCTTTCAACTGTAAATCCCAATCAAGGTCTATGACTATTGCCTTCAATGCATGACAATATCTGCAGCGCCATGACATTGGCTTTAATCGGTCTCTATCAGTTTCGAAGCAACATCAACACCGATTGCATTATTTAATTCGCCTACCGCTATGACACATTCACGTGACACTGGATTACATTCAAACTGAATAAGTCCAAACAGTATGATTCAAATTCAATTATCTCCTAATCTATATTATAAATCATTTTACCAACACCATATTTATTAATTTAAGAATGTGAAATGAATGAAAGAGAGAGAGAGACACTTGTGGTGTTCGAAATTCAAATTGTCATAATTTCATTTCATGTGAATGAATTCCGACCTGCTCATCAAACAAACACAACATTGACTCACCGCTATGTGTGGCTCTTTTATCGCAAAATATTTACGATACTGAATTTCCAACTGATGACCCATTAGTTTGAATCGAACAAATCAAAATCGAATAACATCAAACTATATTACTATTGGATTTTTTTGTACCGCGCTTGTTCTACATTTCCAAGAAATAAAAAAAACGATTGAAAATGGCAAATTAACTGAATTCACTATAAAAATTTAATGAAGTTGATTCATGTCCATGTGAGACGGTAACCATAAGACACGATGAATGCCAACGTATTCGTTTATAATATAAATACACAAACAACCCGAGTGAGAGAGCGTGGAGCGCGTTAAAAAGAGAAAGAGAGAAAAAAGGATAACGAATCCAAAGTAAAAGGCGCATTAATGTTGTGTTAGTTTTTGTGACATTGTTCTATATATTCGTTGTTGTTGTTGTGGTCGATTCTGATAAGGATTTTATTCTCTCTTTTTTTGAAAAAAAAAAAAAAAAATGATTTTGCGGTGTTAGCTTTCGAAGAATAATAGAAAGCTTGTGGCATTTGTACGGCTATCGTACATAAGCCGACAATTTTATTTTCATTTGTCATTGAAATGGATTTGTACATATGCAAAATATGAACATAAAGTTCGGATTATTTGATTCGGATGTACGAGAGAGAGAGAGAGAGAGAGAGAGAGAGAATGAGCCAGTGTGCTATGAATTTTTGTGTGAATGTCAGAAATCCGAGAAAAGAGTCCGTCGGGCAGCCGACCGCCCGAAGTGTATGTGTGTATGGATAAAATCGCGCGCGCTATGTCACTTTGACATTGTGTGTGGGATCGCCTGAGCGCCACGGCTTGAAATACACAGCGCGACTCGATTTCAATTTGAATATGTATTTGATTGGTTATTGTTCCCTTTATTCTTCTATTTCTCATTTCTTTTCCCATTTGCCGATTCACTCTTACAATTTGCGGGGCAAAAGATATATACAGCAGCATACACAACACCGAATAACAAAAACAAAGCGCAAAATATACACGATGGTCTAGTCTAAACGTATCGTCTTGATGATGCGTACCGATTTCGCGTTCTACACTTTATTACTCCTTTGGATTAACGACGACGATGCTGTAGCTAGCAAAAAATCGACTCATTTTTTCCGTCGTCGACGAAAAATTCAAACGAAATAGAATTGAAAAAAAAAACAACAACATCACGATATTTGGCAAAGCGTATTGATTTAAAGAAACGGATTATACCGGAAAATCGTTGTTCAAAACAAAAATACAATCTCATTCAAAGTTGAAGACTTTTTTTTCTCTCGCGAAAATAGTGAGCAGTTTCGTTATTTCCAAATAATACTTACATTTATTTAGTTGTGACAATCGATTTTATTCATAAAATCCGTCGATAGAATTTTTTTTTTTTTAAATAAATCATGATGCAAAACCAAAAAACAATTTCCATTGTTAATTAAAAACATACACATTTAAATAGTGTATTTTTTTTAACTCAAAAACTCAGCCGATTTTATTTGATCAACGGAGTTACATTACACAAAGAAAATGGATATGAAAAAAAAATATATAGAAGTCAACACATTGTCGCATTGATTAATAAATACCACACATTTTAATTTCGTGCCAATCGTTCCGAATCGAGTTTATTGGGAAAATCGAACGAATGGATAAAAAAAGAGCCTCAATAGGTTTCGCGTTATATTAATATATATTTGTCTGTGTTCATTTCGAATTTTCACTTACTCGTCGATTCTGGCACAATTTCATTTGTTATTGTTACCGTTTTTTTTTTGCCGTTATTATTGTTGTTACTCACTCGCGGTGCTAAAAATATAATCGTGAAAGTGTATATAAAAAAGAGTAGCGGTGTAAAGGACGTTTTTTTAAAGCAACATTGGTGTGCATGATCGTAAGAACCGCGGCATGATGAACGCATACAAATGTAACGATTGAGAGGAAAATCAAACGAACAATTCACAAATACGCACCGACCAAATTCCGAATTTTGAAAAATAGATGTGCAAATAAGTGTGCGGTGCATGTCAATTTTTAATTCAACGGACACTGCCATTGATATACATAAATATATTTTTTTCTCTATTTATCTGTCTTTCTTATCTTGTTACAATCAATCATTTGTTCTTTATTATATTTATCGTGTTCGAACACTTTTATGTTCGATCGAAGTTGAATCCACATTTTAAATCCAAAATCCGGAGAAAATTTAAACGTATTTGCTAGCTAAAAAAGTGTGTGCATTCCGGCTGATTCACAATGAATTTAATGTTTCGGAAAAACTTTCGCGAAGGTGCTAAATCGAGCGGTGGCGGTGGTGTAAAATTAACATCAAAAGTAAATCGAAGCCAAGGGAAACGATCTCGCGATATGGGATATGGCAATAATATGGATGCTGATGTGCATTATAGAACACACCTATTTTTTTCACCAAATAGAGGTGCCAGTTCAAGTGACTTTGAAGGTTTGTGCTTTTACGTATGTGTGTCGTTCTTTCTTCTACTCCCTTACTCACTCTATCTATCTTCTCTTTCCAATTATTCTATTGTGTACATAATTTTTCCTTCCATCGCAATAGAATTGCTTTTCAAATTGTTGTCGGAAAATTTTCTGTATTATGTCGTGCAATTACCTTTTACATTATTCTTAGTATGTATGTATATGTGTGTGTGTGCCTATGTACATATCTGTAATCTGTATGTATAATATGGAAAAATAATAATTTGATCATATGTTGTAAGCCAAGTAAACATGATGTTAAAAATGTTGTTTGAACAATGTTTCGATAAGATGAAAATTGCCTGGTCATTCGAAAAATAACAATGTGCCGCAAACAATTTTCATTGTCAAAAACAAACACATTTATGAATTTAATATTTTGACTTTGGTACATTGAAATTTCCAAACAATCACGCAGATAGACGAGTAGCACATTGTTTCTTTTGCTTGTAGCTGTATGTGTTCAATTTTCACGACCAACTTTGGACATGGCTATTTCGAATATAGAAACTTTCCAATCAAAATATTGTAGAGACCACTTTTTCCCTTATGCGTTATGGTTGACTTTTTTGAAATTGAATTTGCTGGGATGTGGATTTTGTTGTGCTAAAATAAATGTTTCGGAAACTCTTTCCTGAGTTCCAATTTCCATAAAATTAGTTTTGCTAGCATTTTACAATGAAAGTGAGCGAACCGTGTGATGAGCATATATCCTACAAGGATAAGCAAACAAAATTTAACCGAATAAAACCGATTTATTCCCGACTGAGACGTGTGTGCGTGTTTCAAGGTGCTTTCGCTGCCTTTATGTTTTATTTCACTGTCGTTACTCTTGTCATCACTACGGTATTTACGCGAATGACATGCTTGGCTTGGATAATTATTATAATCCAGCTGTTTCTATCAGAACATGAGAAATTGCTGACATTATAGTAGTACACACAAAATATTATGCCGCTATTAATGCACCAAAATGAATTGTTATTTGAAATGAACAGCAATCAATATGATTATGTTTATCAATATATTCGATGCGCGATAAAATCAAACCCATTAATTTGATTTGTTCACGCATATATTCGAGCTCATTTCAGCTGATTTCGTCGATATAAATTTTTTTGTAAATTTGAAAATGTGTTTATTAAAATGAATTGATTGAATGAATGTGTAAAATCAACCAAAACTAACTGCATTTTTCAGAGCGTTGTGGTCCAATCGGTGCATCTATATCAATATCGTTGCCACAATGTGATGTAGATGTGCCACAGCCAATAATCGATCGCAGACCATCTATGTCACTTTTTAAATGGGGTGGCAGTCAAAAACGAACCGATGCACCAACACCAACAGCTGCCAGACAAGGTTTGACATCATTCATCAGATCACATTAACAGATCATACAGAATTTACATAAATACACACACACTTACACACTTACACTATACATACATTCATTCGATTTGCAAACGACATGAATTTGTTTTTATCTACAGCATAAATCAAGCGTAACGAAGGAGGATAATTGAATTGCAAACACTTATCCATTTCTCTTTTTTCTTTCGTCTTCTCTTTTTATTTAAAATCATAATTTTCATTAATTTAGTAAGATTTTGTAGAAAGTGTTCCATTTTATGTTTTCGATTGTATTTGTTTTGGTCTTGGTTTTTCTTTTGAATATGATCTGATTTTTCACCATTCTATAATTGAGTTATGATGTTCCTCGCAGATAGAGCTGGATCCATTTTCCTTTTAACAAACACAATGTAAAAAAAATTTAATCTTTTACGAACGAAAAACAAAAACAAAAACAGATGAAAAACATGAATTAATATTTATGTGTAAATAATTCATAATGTCTAACTTGAATGCATAATTTAATTTTTGCCATTTCAAACGAATGATGTTCATCATTCAGGACGTGCGCGTTCTCATCCATCAAGGTCATTTTCATATCTCATTCACCAAACAATTTATTTCGATTTCACTGCTTCGGACAAATGATTAATGTACATATATATTGTGCTCTCTCTTTCTCTCATTTTTCTCTATTTATTTTACATTTCTTAACTATTCCGTGATGATGGTGTGCGCGGCGTGAAAATGAATATTTTACCATTCAAAAATTGATATGAGCAGTTAGCTTTAGTGGCAATGGTAATAATATTGTTGTTGGCACACGAAATGAACCAATATCATTATCCACATTGGATAGAGATTGTTTTATCATACCTGTACACAGTTTAGATCGATTTCTTCCAGCTGGAATACCCGTAAGTATTCATGTTCAATGTTCATGCATTTCAAACGGGTGAAATTTTAATCGTTTTTCCATTGGCATTAATTTTCGATCAATTAAATGTGAAATGGATTTTAATTGAAAAATAAATGATATGTGCATGTTATTTTTTATTTAATTTAGCTTCCACCACCATGTGATTCAGTAGATGTTAAAGCACAAGGTCCATTAAGTGTTTTAGAGGTAGCCGATCCAAAAGTATGTGTACTGGCACATTTAATGAGTCCATTAGAACCGATCGATCCGATCATTGAATCGCCGCTAAGTCATCCGTTGCTGAAACAACGTGCCATCGCTTCAGAGCTTTTGACTGAGGTACAACAAGCAAATACCGCTATTGGTGGCATGCTTCTCGTAAATATGGAACGAAATTGTATGTTGCTCGAACAATTTTTTGCACGAATACTTGATAATTTGTGAATGGTTTTTTTTTTTCAGCCGATTTTCCATTTATCGCCTACTATTTGATAAACACTCAACAAACTGATCCGGCCAACTTTTATTCGGGCATTCGAGGCTCATCGCTTTCAAAATTCGAACCGAAAAAGTTACGGTAACCATCATGTTGGCCACTTTTCATTTTCTTTCACTTTTGACACATTTACAGTTGAAAACATATAAATTTTCTTTTATATTTAATCGTTTTCGATTCTCTGCTTTTACAATGCAAATATTCTATAAGTATATATATATTTCGCATGCGGTTTATTGTGTGTGATAAATCGATTGTGATTCTTATATTGAACTTCTGTGCAGAGCTATTTTTAACCCGTAAATTTCGACCTTTCTCTTTTACATTTGCAAATTTATAAATATTTATCGCACAACATTTCAATTAGATCAGCACAAACAGACTTGAACAAACTAAAAAAAAATCCTTTCTTTCTCACATTCAACTTTATTCACAATTTTTATCGATTTTTTCTTCACACAAACTATGCTATCTCGCACAAAACAACAACAACAACAAAAAAAACACTCAACAGATATACAGCGGCGCATACATTGGACCTATACTCAGAAGTGGCATCCATATGTCGACCACCGTTAGCATTGACAGGAAGTGAAATGGGTTGTTCTATTAATTCTATTATTTAATAATTGTTATTGATTCTTTTTCGATTATTTGTCGATTATTTTAAATTAATTCTATTCTTTTCTTTTGTGATTCTCTCCTAGGTAGCTTTAAGAAAACACAAACACCATCGACCGGATACATAATCAGCGTATTTAAGGTTTTTGAAGGTGACGATGGTGAACGATTCGAAAAAAATTGGCTCTATTGGACCGGTGCCCGAATGCTATATAGGTAATTCACATTTATGTTCATTCATATGCGTAAATGAACTTATAAATTTGTTTTCTATTGGAATAGATATTTGCCAAGATCGGTTGGCATGCGGCGCATCGCATTGCACAAAAGTATTTCGGCCAGAGGTGATAAAATGTACCTTCTTGTATGTGAATGCTCTGATCTGTTGACGGAAATTTCGTCGGCAGCGGTATTGATACCAACGATTCGAGCTCGTTTATGTGGCTACACAGGACTTTATCGACCAATTCAAGCTTTCTAGGCTAATCCACACACACATATACACAAACATTTATCTAATTTAACCAAATAGTTGAAGAAGAAAAAAATGAGAAAGAATGCAAATAAATTGCATTTGAATATATTTAAAATCATGACAGGAATTTAAAAAAAATCAACCTGGAAAACCAATTTGAAAGTATGCATGCGAGCAATTAGCGAATAAACGGATGGGAAACGGGCAAAGTCGAAATGTACACGCGCGCAAAAAAACATAACTAAAATTCAAATGAGAAAAAAATGAACCTGTTTTAACCGTCGACAATGACACCTTATCATACAAATGTTGTGTATATATGTAAACTAAGTATATTTTAAAATGCCGTGTTTATTTTTTTACCTGCGCGAACGTAATTGCAATTCAGCTCTTTTATTAAAATGGTTCAACAATTTATTGGGACACAATTCACTCATTTTCTTCAATTTTTTCAGTTTTTTGTTGAATTTGTTAAAATTTCGTTTCATTTTGATGATATGTTAAAATTCGTTGAATAAAATTGATACAGAAATGGAATGTTGCTTTTTTTCGAAACGAATCTTGAATTAAATATGCCATATACGCATAAAAATTCATAAATCGGTGCTCATGAACCGAACACAGAAAAAGCTACGTAGCAGAGCTATACATGTCCACTTATGTGGAATGCAAAAAATTACACATTTCTTAAAATCATATCGAGCAATAGAGCAATTTGATGATGATATTTTTTTTACTTTAACTCAATCATATTGTTGTAGAATGCATATCAAGTTTAATTACTTTTCAGAAATATTTGTTCTTATACCATCGATTTGATTCTTTTAAAGTCCACTCCACAACCAGACTTGGTGGGTGTTTTTAAAGAACCACACACATGAAAATATATATCAATGAATTACAGATTGCATCGTTTAAATAGGGCAAAAACTTTGACATTTGAATACCAAAAAATGAACACTGTAGCAAAAAAAAATAACGAACACTTTTTGATCATACTACTCTTCACTGTGAATATTTATAAAGATACACAGCAATTAGAAGACAGTCGAATTAAGTTTATGGATCACAGAATAAAGACTTTCGCCTATGTGCCAATATTGGCAAAACAAGAAAAAAAATATTGCCACGCATACTAATGCAAAGATGCTTGAGATTTATTAAGCATAATTGTTTTTTTCTTCGCTGAATAGAAGGGGCCTTTGATTAAAATAATACGTAGAAATTGAATATATATATATCATACTATACAATTTACTCTTTTCTTTCCTATTTCAACCAATCGATTAACAATTTTAACGTAGAACTTAACAAAACCATACTTTTACTACAGAAATAAGCGAATCGATTTTATTTTAATGAGAACAAAGGAATCAAAACAACTTTTTTCGCAAACTTAATCAAACCAAATACGTACTATGCTAGTATTAAAGTGAAACCAACAACAACAACAACTAAACAAATTAAGTAGATATTCACATTCTATATTGATACATTTTTGAAATAATTGCTAAAGCACCAAATCTTCCAAAAAGTAGGTCATAAAATGGAATTAAGCAGATGCAAAAGCACTGTTTACTAAATTATTATTAAAAAAATAATAGATAAATTATAAGGAATTTGAACCTCAACACTTGATTAAAAGAAAAACTGTGATTCTGGTTAACAAAATGTATTGAACCAATCAAATTAAAAAAAAAAATTGCATTACAAAGGATGAACGTAAGCGATAAAGCATGTCAATATTAGGGAATTTAAAATGGAATGTAAATTGTTACAAGAAACGTTCACTTACAATTCACACTCAATATTGCTTTAAAATTGTCAATATATCTACATAAAATTGATTAAACAAAAAAGAAATCGGCAGAGATTTGGTGAGCCATGCGTTTTTGTGACGAATCAACCGGTTATTATTGCTTCTCTCAACAAAGCTTTAAAACTATTTTCAAATAATTATAGATAAATTAGAATTAAGAGGCAACAATATTAAGGCCCGAAACGTGTTTTTCATGAAATTTGACGGATGTTAAAAATGTCAGTTTTTTTCACTCTCTCTCTCTCTTTCTCTCTCTCTCTTGCATTTCATTTAAAACATTCGGTTTTTTTCCTTTCTTCATTCGATTGAATTTCCGTTGTTGTTGTTTTTTTTTCAACTTCAAAATGGGCACATAAAGCAATTTATTTTCAGAATGATACATTTTCCATAAGCTTTTATTCGCATTCGATTTTTGTCATTCGATTTTAAAACAAATAAACAATCAAATGAACTATTGCTAAATGTGTGTATTGTTTATTCGATTTTTCAGGTTGATTTTGAATTGCATTATGCTGCATTGTTGAGTGGTTTTTGTTGGCATGAATCTTTTATTTCGAATATACATATTTTGACAAATTGCTGACGCATCAATTAGCGCGACTTTATTATATGCTCGATTTAGCTGTCATGATCAATTGTTATTCGAAGCGCTTCGTGATAGCACACACTTAACAGGCGCTAAACAGTTTAGCAAAGTGAATCTAATCGATAAAAATAAATATAAATTAAATTTGTAATAAAAAAGTGCAACGATGAAAATTGTGTTAGCTTTAGTTGTGGTTTCTTACCTTGCGTTCGTGACCAATGTTGTGGATGGTGGTTCTCTGCGCGTTCAAGATGTCGATGATCGTGTTTCGTTAGAACGACCAAAAAGATTCGATGTAATTTTATTTTGAATTTTTGTGAAATGTGCTTTAGTGGCCATTCTTATTGTTTTGTTTAAAAACGTGTGTCGTTTTTTTTTTGCTTAGGATGAATCGCAAACGAATGATGAATTGGGTGCAACAGCAAAACAAGCTGATTCCACGGATTCAAGTATACCAAATGAAACGGATGACAAGATTAACGAAGTAGAAGATGAAACAAGAAGAGATAAGGGGTCCAAAGGATCCAAAGGTGGAAAACATCAACATGAAAAGCAAAAGGAGCATGAAAAACACAGGTTTACCTACAGATTTACATTTTCGTTATGTTAATAATATGTTAATGCCCAATATATTTATTATCATGTTATGTTTGAATTTTTTTTATCTTAATAACGTTATTATTATATCGCCATGATAATAACATATTATCTTAATAATATGTTTGAAAATATCTTAATAATATTGAGATCATAATAATAAGATTTTATTAAGATACGGTTGATCTTAATAAAATCTTATTAAGATATTTTCAAACATATTATTAAGATAATATGTTATTATCATGGCGATATAATAATAACGTTATTATTACGCTATGTTGGGCCAAACATATTCAAATTATTATTATGTTATGTTATATGATAATAATATGTTATGATCGGTAAATCTGTAGGTTTAACACGACTACAACAACACCAAAACCAGCTACTGCGGCATCAACGGTAAAACCATTAAATACAACACCAAAGCCGCCATCAATAACTGCTCCACCCAAACCGTCACGACCATTGTCCGATAATATTCCTGTGCCACCTTCGCCGCCGTCACATCCACCACAGCCACATATGCATTTGCAACCGAATTCATATCATATTTTCGAACCGAATGTGGCGCCTGCATCACACCATAGTGAGTTCCCTGGTGAAAATGAAGCTCAAATTCCAAGCGTCTATCGGCAAGAACATCATAATTCTCATCAACAACAACAACAACATCAGGAACATCATCATCATCATCACCACCCAATGTAATGATACGAATTGCTAATATATGCTTACTTTTAATTTTTTTCGTTTTTTTTTTTCATTCAAATTTACACTTTCTCGGTTTTAAATTGAACGGTTTTTGTTGTGTCTTTTTTTCTACATAGGGCCCGCCAAGAATTCGAAGAAACTCTCGATGATTTCGACAATATGCAATTGGGAGCCTCTTATTTGGGACCACCACCAACAGCTTATGCTCCTCAACCATCAAATGGTAATTTTATCAATTTTTTTTTCTGATAATTGAATGTATATTTCAGTTCTGATGAGTGAAACATAAAACGTATGTGAATTAGAGTGTTATGTGCTCTAAGTGAAACTTTTTCGAAGTTATCCACCAAAATATGTGAAGTGATCTCCCAAACAAATGATAATTAACCACCATTTTTCTTTTTTTTCAAAAGCACCCTATGCACCACCCTCTTATCCTAAAGTTCAATGTGGCCATAATTTATTGATTTCATGCCAACCGTCTGTTAATTCATCTCCATGCCAAAGTCAAGCAAATTCTTATGCTGCTCCACCGCCACCCAGCTATGCACCAAAACCAACCTACCGATTTGCCGATGAAGAGCAGAATCTAGAGAGAGACGATACATTGGCTGAACAGCCACAACAAGGGTAAGCTATAATCAACATTTTCTTCTACATCTTTTGATGAATGACATTTCAAATGGAATTGAATGTTTATTTTTATTTTTTCAATTGCAGCTTTGAGAACGAAGAAGATGCGATGGTTGGTAGAAGCTTAGCATTGGCGCCACCAGCTGCTGATGTGAAGGAAGGTGAATATTTTCATCCAAAGCCGCACCATAGTCATCATCACCATAGTCAACAGCACAACGATCAAGAGCACCACAGCCATCCTTCACACCACCATCATCACCATCATCACGATCAAAAAGTGGATGTAACACCACACAGTGAACATGTGTCACCACACAGTGGGCCTGTGTCACCAAAACCCGAACCGAAACCAATTGTTCATGGTGAACATCTGAAAAAAGTTGATCAAATCCACCCTGAACACCCTGGCAAAACTGAAAAATTAAGATATAATTATAGCCCACTCGATGAAGATGAAGCTTTAGTTGGACAGGTAAAATGTTAATGAAAATATATTTTTTTAATTAAATTTTTTTTCGCATACAAGGAAGTAAATTATTTTATGTATCTCTTTCTAGGGGCAGAGCAGTACTAGAATAATCATTTTTGTTTAAAGTAATTCTATGTTGTGAGTAGTAGTCCATATTAATCCATAGCAATACACACTTACGTAAATTCTAACAGCAGTGCAATGACGTTTCATGTGTACGTTGTGTATTAAATTTGTTAGGAACAAAGCGATCGCAGTATATTTCGGATGAGACATTTTATTGTTAAAAAATGGAAAATAACGAATTAAATTTAATAAATATCGAATAAATTGTTTCAATCCGCAATATACGACGAACGCTTTATTCCTAACAAATGTAATACACAACGTACACGTCATTGCACTGCTGTTAGAATTTACACAAGTGTGTATTACTGCGGATTAATATGGATTACTACTCACAACATAGAATTACTTTAAACAAAAATTATTATTCTAGTACTGCTCTGCCCCTAGAGCTCTTTGTATTGAAAAAAATCACACTTTTTCTCGCATTAACTTTATGATATGTGTTTTGTAATTACAGCAAATGCCACCATTTCCACAAGTTCCCGATACGTTTCAAGGACCCGAGCAACAATTAGGTCCTGACGCACGTCAAATGCAATTTCTACCACAACATATGATGCAACCATCAATTCCGCAAATGCGTCAAATGCGACCTGATTTTCCGCCACAAATGCAAACAGAATTTCCACAACAAACAAATCCAATGATGCAACCATTGATTCCGATTGAAACACACCAAATGTCACCTGAATTACATCACGAATTCCAACAACCAATGCCACCACGTAGCAATCAAGCATCAATTCAACCAGATTTCTCAGAGAAGCCTCAACAACAACCAATGCCACCGCGTGATGAATTCCAGCAACCAATGCCACCACGTAACGAATTCCAGCAACCAATGCCACCACGTAGAAATCAACCAGATTTCCCAGAGCAGCAATTTGACTTTCAACAACAGTCAATGATGCGACCTTCAGCTCGGCGAATGCGTCAAATGCAACCATCACAATTTTCACGATATACGCGTCAAATGCAAAGAAATGAAAACCAACAACAGCCACGACCAATGCCAAGATCAGATCTTCAAGTGCAGCCTGAACAGAACCAACAAATGACACGACCAGATTCTCAAGTGCAACCTCAACAAGACCAACGTCAAATGCCAAGGCCAGATTTTCAAGTGCAAACTCAACAAGACCAACGTCAAATGCCAAGACCAGATTTTCAAGTGCAAACTCAACAAGACCAACGTCAAATGCAAAGACCAGATTTTCAAATGCAGCCTCAACAGGACCAACGTCAAATGACAAGACCAGATCTTCAAGTGCAACCTCAACAGGATCAACGTCAAGTGCAAAGACAAGATCTTCAAGTGCAGCCTCAACAGGACCAACGGCAAATGCAAAGACCAGATTTTCAAATGCAGCCTCAACAGGATCCACAAATGCCAAGACCAGATTTTCTTCCACAACAAAGTCCAGAATTTTTCCAACAAGAACCACGAAGACTTGACATTCTGCCAACAACAACCCAAATTTCCCAGCCACCCCAACATCTAATAGTGCCATTGAATCCAAACTTCGATCCAAGTCTGCACCCAATTCCACAACAACAAATGCCATCACGACCACTAATATTTTCACCAGCACCGCCGCCACAATTCCATTTAATGCCACCACGAGCATTTATGCGACAAATGGAAGAGCAATTGAGAAGACTTCGGTTTGACGAAGAACCGTTGGAAGAATCTCTTGGTGAGCCCAATCCAATGATGATGAATGACGAAATGCAATTTTCATTTGGCGTCAATCCAATGATGGCGAGAGAATATTACTAATTGACACTGTATCAATGAAATAACGATCTGTAGCTCACAAAACGACGTCGACATTCAAGAAAATACACATTTGTATCGTATCTTTGCACTCTCTATATATTTTTATTCCGTAATGATAAGTTATTGATTTAAATAGCACAATAAAATCATCATCAAATTGAAAGCCAAAAAATGTTTGAAATTTCAATTGATTACAATTTCGAAAAAAAAGGCCGAAGAAAATTCTATCTCCAAAAAAATAATAATACTTCTGAAATATAGGTGCTTTCCCTCACCGGTTTCTCAAATCGTTCTCGAAATGTGTTTCTTTCTAAAAGCTTCGCCTTCTTTTTCTTGCTCCCATTCTTTTAGGAAATGACTAGTATACATGAACTTCAGCATTTTTCTTGACACTTATTTTCAACGAAATAGATGATACTTACTCTTGACTAACGTATGTAAGAAAAACGATTATCATCATGTTTTGATGAAAGAAAAAACTAATTTTGGATCAAAATACATATTCTATTCTCTGGGTCAAGAGCAGAAAAAGTGTTGTGTGTTCAATCATAGCGTCAGCAAAATTGTAGAATAATCAAAGAGTTGTGACAAAGTTCAATCAAATATTTGTACATTAAAAGAGCATGAAAAAAAAACAAGTGAACAGCCTTACTACGTTCGCGTATATATTCAATGTTGCTGTCGTATGCATTTTTTGTCAGAATGATTGACAACGCACCGCAACGGCCAATGACACCGAACACTAAACTATAACTTGCCTTTTTTTTATATTTTATGAATATCAAAAAATCAGTCTTGAAAAAAAAATCCACCAGAAAACAGACAAAGAACATACCTTCTATATTTTTTGTACCAAGATTTCAATTACGTCGTCAAACCTATTCAATATATGATAATTTTGAACTTTTCAACTTTTATCTTAGGAATCGGCAATCAATCGAAGAAAAGAGTTTCTGGACAAGTATACTTTTGCAAAATACACCTAAAGTATTACATTTCGTTATATAACATATGTTCACCGATTAAATTAAATCAACATTGAAAAAACGACAAGTTTTAAGTTTTATGCTAAATGATGAATATTTTATTTTTGATTTTAATCAATATACAGAAAAAGAGCAAGGCTATCTAATTGCGTCAGTTGATGTCATGATATAAGCACGTTAGTAAGATGAGGATGGTGGTGGAGCGCAAGCTACGTATTGAACATTCGGAACACAGCTGACAAAAAGATTCTGTCCGCATTTTTCAACTTGCGGTGCTAGAGCTGGTGGGGCTAAATTGGAAGAAAAAAAAAACACAGTTTCGTAATTTAAAAAACTATAAATCACAATGCAACGCAAAGCTTTGAATTTGGTTAGAATGAACAAAAAAATATGAAGTCCAAAGAATGCAATTGAAAAAAAAAAATTGAATTCGAAATAATTACCAGAATGAGCTGGTTTATAAGGCGCAGCAGCAGGTTTATAAGCTGGTTTAGGTACGTATTTGGGAATGTCATAGGGCGATGCATATCTGAAATATTGGTTTTCCGCCAATTCATTCTGTTCATTTGGGCTGCCCAGCATTTCATTTTCTTCTAAACCATTTCCATCCCATCCATTTTCTTCCAGCGGACTTCCTACCATTTCATTCTCTTCCATGCCATTTTCTTCGTTATCTCTAAAGATGCCACCACGGTTTAGTCCGAAATTTTGGAATCCTACAAAAAAGCACAGACACACACAAAAATCATAAGTTACACAATAAAATTGAGGACAGTAATTAATAAACAACAAAAAAAAGTGCCAATATGAAAATATTTTTGAAAAAATGTTGGAAAAAAAATCAAATGAATCTTACCTCCGTTTGCATTTTGTTGTTGGAAATTTGTGTTCGAACCCGATGAACCAAATGCCGAAATTCCAAAGGTACTTCCACGGTTTTGTTGAAAATTGGTGTTTGAATTTCCAAATGCGCCCGATGAACCGCCAGCATTTAAAAATGATTGTGGTCGAGCAAATGGTAATTGTGGCTGTGGAATGCCGAATCCACCACCGAATTGTGCATTTATTAAAGTTAAACGCACCACGATCACGAAAAATAAACAAGTCAATTTATGCGAATACATGGCTGAGTAAATAAAAGTGCGTATCGTCGTCGTCTTAAGTTGATCGATGAATGACAAAAGAAATGTTTTTAATGAATAACAATAATTTTCATGGTTTCATAATTTATATTGTGGAATTCGTTCACCATACGCAAATTGTTGAATCGATGAAAAGAAACTGTTTGGATTCGCATAAAATTTAGTTCATATTTCATAAAAAATTGTGTTGCATTTGGAATTTGTGCCAATGCATGCGGTAGACCTCGCATTGTTTTTTTTTCGGTCAACATATACAAGTTTGAGTGCAATAACAAAATTTCTGCTGATGAATTTAATCGATTTTAAATTCCCCAAAGACGACTTGTGGCATTTTGAAAGCTTACAAGTTCATTTCTGAGAAACCATTCAAAGCGAATGTGTTAAATTAAATTCAAGTGGCTAACTACATTTTTTGAATAACAATGAGGTTATTTTTGATCGTTTTTATAGCATTTTTAGTGCAAGTGAATTGTGAAGCGACACAGAAAAATAGCACAGTGAACATTAATAAAGATGTCGTTTCCACAACTACCGAAACCATTGCAACTGGAAACAAAAATACCAAAGACAAAGACGACAAAATACTTGGCGCCGTAAATGAAAGTTTGGATAGTGAAAGTACAGCGTTATCCGAAGAAGTGTGTCCATTAAATCGTTACAAATTTTTGAATATTCAAATCGTGTTTTTTAGCGATTAATCGCAGATGTGCAGTTCGTTAGTAAATAAATGTAATTGTTTTTTCTATTTTTCCAGAGTGAGAGTGATGTTGATGAGAAGAATATGCGTTCAGCACCAACCACGGGCACATATGCAAGCGCACCTCAATCATACGGAAAACAAGTTCAAGTACAGACAACAACCACAGGCGGCAATGGGTATTTGCAAAAATCGTTTGTCCACATTCAAAATAGAAAACTAACCATTTTTCTTTTCTTTTCGCCAATTCAGTAATTGTTCGTGTGTTTGTGTACCACCACCTCCGCCGCCTTGCAATCCAGGTGAATTGTACAAACATATAAATGCACTATGAAGAACATTTTATTTCATTCTATCACATTTTAAAAATACAGATTCCGGTTATGGGCCAACTAATCCAATAGCCGCACCTTATGGTATGCATTCTTTTTCAATATATGTTTATATTTCGTACGATCCAGAGCAAGTGATAAAATCTAAAATTATAACAAAATTTGACTTTTTTAAAATTTAAAATAATGAAATAAAAATCCAATTTTAACAGCACCAGTACCTTATTCGCAACAACATTCATCATATGGTGGTGAACCAAAAGGTAACACATTAATTTTTCTATTATCATTTTTTTAATTTCATTTTTTTCAACACTTAGCTCCAAATTACGCTTCAGCTCCAAAACGTAAGACTTCATATCATTTTTATGATCATTTTCCTACATTTAATCAAAAGTGAAATATTTTTATGCGTACTGAATGAATGTTTTTTTCCATCTCCTATAGCATATTCCCCAGCATCAGTCTATCCACCTGCTTATTCGCCTCCGAAGGGTAAGATTTCAACATCGTTTGTTTAAATCAAATGTTTTAAAGTGATATTTTTTTGAAAATTTATCAACTCTTTGAAAAAGTAATGTTTAAATGTGCTAACTGATTTTTTAAAAACTCAATAGGATATGGCCCAACGCCTGCACCTGTTTACGCACCAGCTTCCAAAGGTACCATTGCATTAACTATTTATTTTTCATTTTTTTGTTTGATTTTCCCTACAAAGAAAAATATATTCCAATTTTTAAGGCATCAAGTTTTTATATCAAGTAATAGTTATTGACCATTTATTTCAATGCAAGCACTATGTTGGTGAATGTTTACTGACTATTCGAATTAAATATGTTTCTATGTTTGCGAAATCTTTAACTTGAATTGATATCTTTATTTTGTCAATTTAGATTCTTATTCGCCTACGCCGAGCTACGCGAAACCGTCAAGCTACGGTAAAGCACCTGCAAGTTATCAACCATACACCGGACCTTATTCGCCATCGCCGAGCTACTCGAAACCATCCAGCTATCCAAAACCACATGAAAGTTATCAATCACCTGCCGGACCTTATTCGCCGCCACCGAGCTACGCAAAACCATCA